TATATATATATATATATATATATATATATATTCTTCGGCAAAATGGAAACCGTGCCACGGTACTACGGAATCGAAAAATATTAACGTATAGTGGCGCCGTTTGCCTGTGCCTCTAGGCTCACTATTTCTCTGTTTGTCCGACCCCTCAGCGTTTCCTGCAGATTTCTTGTTCCTTTCAACCTCCGTTATCAGCCGTTTAAGTTCATCTCTCGACGGTTCAAATCCTAGGGCTCTCAACGCCACTCTCACCTCCTTGGCATCGATGGTTCCTGTTCCCTCAACATCAAAGAGGTCAAATGCCTCTTTGATATCTGCTCGTTGTTGTTCAGTTGGTTCTAGCCGTGGCCTTCGAACGCCCTTCCCAGTCTTATTCTTGACATCCGGCATTTTGGAATCTTCCCAGAGAAAGGAAGAGAATTAGTTTCTGGCCTATTGTCCCACAAGCAGCAAGCGTACTGCCTCGAAGAGCATCGAACGTGTTCCCAGCTTTATGACGTCTTCAGGCCGCCTGGCCAGATGGGATCAAGGAAGCCATAATGCTTCGTTCGGGATACACCAAAGCGGGCGCACTGCTAGACGGGCGAGGTCAAATTGGACAATAACCGGCCTCACACCCCCTAAACTATAAGCATGCCTTTAAAATGGAGGTATCTAGCATATTTCTACGGTTCCTAAGTTGTTTCTGCCCACTAAAATAGAGCAAAGTTGGTCTCGTGGGGTCACTTCAGTGCAGGCGGTTATCTGACTGGATGCACATCTTGGGCTGTCAGCTACATCCCTTGCTTTGGTGCCGTTTGAGCAGATATTTCAAAGCAAAGGTATGCTCTATTCTTCAGAGGCTTCTCTCGAGACACGTTCGCAATGAAGCCGCGTCTGCATAGGGACGGTTGCTGGTGCAGAGCCACCCTCTTTCCATCCAATGGCGCGATGGATTACATTAATTCCAACTCGAAATACGTTTCATCTGAAACGCTAGAGTTCTGTTCCTTTCTAATGCCTTAGTGAGCAGTGTCGCGTCAATGGCTTCGGTTGCGAATTAGCTGGTTCTGTGGTCCTTCACCGTGCTGGGAGGGCCCCAAACAACACCCTCCCGACCCCCGACCGCGAAACCATGGCTTTTCTTTTGACCTCCCCCATACTGGCCAGCCAGTCTTTTTCAGCTTATTCCGTGTGATGGTGTTTATTTTTTAAGCAGCAAAAGCCTCCGAATTCCGGAGAGGAGAATGCTAGAGCAGGCGCCTCCCCGGTAACCTTAGCGAGCCGATCGCGCGCATGTCGGTTGCGGAAGAGGTTTCAGACCCTAGTCCCGAGAGCGCAGCTTTTTGTATTTTTTAGTTGAATTTGAGGAGAATAGGACAAGTGTGCTTTGACGTGTCGGGCGTCTCCTGCGGTGCGGGCAGTCCAACGTTTGTCTGGACCAACAGAGGATTCCGCCTGCGGCGTGCTTATATAGGGGCCAATTATTGGCTCCCCTTCTGCTGAGACCAGTCAGCTTCTACTTTTCTGTATAGTTGAGACTGGGAGGCCATAAGTAGGACACCCGTTTGGGGCCGTTTGCAAAGTACGCCCCTCCTCACACGACGCAGGCTTCATACTCGTCAGCGTGCCGTACCTGCACAGTGTGCTAGTATGGTGAATATTTCGGGCTGACCAGTGTTTATTGGAAGCTGTTTAGAAGAAATGTTGAACGAGTACGTGGCGGAGTTCCAAAGCCTGCGCGCTGAGCTGGAAGGCTTGCTACAGAGCGTAGCATCAGGGGGAGATTCATTTGCAGCAACAGATTCCAAGCTGCGAGAGCTTAAAGGCAAGCTTATGTATCAGTTTTTGTGCATGCTAGTGTGGGGGTTGTTTACCAGGTACAGAATCCTGTTTGAAAAGCATGTGGTCGTCCCTGAAGCTGTGCGCAACGGCGAATCAGGGATGTATGCGGTTGCACGGATTTTTGCAGACTGTCTCGAAGCATTTGAAATGGAGCTGCGTTCCATGCCAGCATCTGAACGAAGTAGCCATTTAAGTCAGCTCCAAATTTGCAGGGATGAGTTCGCCAGGCTTCAGCGCAGGTCTGTATTACGACTGCGGAAGGGCATATGACATATTCAAAGGGGAAAAGTAGAGGGCAAGCAGAGAATTGTAATTCGCCTTCAATGTGACACGAGCGAGGGGTAATCGATGCAGGCGTCGTTTGGACGTGTCTACGCTGCAGATGCTTGCTTGCGACGTCGCGGGGGCACGAACCATCAGCGTCCGCCGAGCTGAAACGCGGAAACCAAGCTCTGGAAAGGCTGAATAGTGCAACTGCTCAGGTGAGGTATGCCTTTCCAATTCAGTGTATCCAACTACTCCCCGGAAATAGACCGTATTGTTCATCAGCTGTCTTCGAGTTTTTGCGCGCGTTTGCAGCTAGGTAATGCACGAAAACTCGCAGAAGAAACTGAAGAGGTTGGTGCGAATATCCTGTGCAACTTATACATGCAAAGGGAAAGCATACAGCGAGCGAATCGTCACGCAGAGCAGACCAACTCAAGCCTACGGGAGTCAAGTTCCCTAATTTCTAAGATGGGGAAGTGGTGGAACGGCTTGATTGGCTAGTGCAGCAACAGTGCCGAGCTCTTCAGCACTTGCTTCTGCCCCAAGAGTTTTGGTTCGGTATCTTCAAATAGGATATAGCCCTTTGTGCTTTGGTTTTTTTTCTGTGCGCTCGATCGAGCCGATTGCATACACTGCTCGTTACATGCTAGTAGTTACGGGACCCGCATACGCTGCTCGTTACGTGCTAGCAGTTGCTGGACCAAGTCAGAGAGCCTGGGGCTTGTTCCCAGGCTACCTGACTTGGTCAGATCTTGCCAAATAGAAGAGCTGTGAGATACCGTAAGGTGCACACTGCTGGAAAAGGGTATACTCTCGGCGCCAGTAGTGTATGCAACCTGGTGCCTCTCGGGAGCCACGGGGGGCAAAGTGCAACGGTCGACCCCCCACCGGCAGCTCACAGATTACAGTTTGCGGTTGATAGCCGAGGCTGGATTGATTGGCGCAACTGTGGAGTATCGGTGGTTTAGTCCTGCGCACCGGACTTGGTTGCATTCCTTGTTTTTTGTAACGCACGACACTTTTACGTTGTTGCGAGACACGCAGTAGTAGAGCCGTCCCGACAAGCTGGGATAGCTGTAGGCGCAGCTTTTATTTGCACAGACAGAATAATACAGCATGCATGCGGCAGGGATCTAGGCAAGCAGCAGGAAGCAGTGGAAGTCTTTCAACTAGCCAGGACATGATGTAGCTTGAATAATTCGTCGGGCCGCCATGCAAGTGACAATCACGCAGAATGCAGCAGCAGCAGCACCATTTGCTGATGATGATGGCGGCCCTGTTGCAGCAGCACCAACTTCGCCACCATTGTTGTGACGTCACGTCAACTTGGGAGTTGTCGCCTGCATGTCTATAACATGGAGGGAAGTTTTGCGTGCTGTTTGGTATTGGGGAAGGCTATGCCCCCCTACGGCAGCATAAAAACGGTACAGTGGAAATGTTGCGGATGACGTCTGTAGACCGCAGGCAACCGTCAGTTGCGAAGATAAGACGAATTCATGTAGAAATGTTATGGCCTGTAACAAATGGAGGTAAATGAGTCTCATTCATGCGAAAGCCCACACATGTGCATGCAAGTGACCGGCGCTTACGTGATAACCCACCAAATTCCGCGGGAGTCCACGAAGGCAGCATGAAGCAACAAAGTCAGTGGTAAGAGCAATTATTATTTTTTACGGGTATGCACTGTACAGGCTTATTTGCAGTGAATCAGGTGGGTGAAATGTGTAGGGAGCACCGGTGGTCACCACTGGTTGAAGTCGGCAGCCACAAAAAGTGGGTACATTGTGTGGGCGCTGGCGTGGAAGTCCGTCATGCAGGAGAAAGCCTTTGTCTTTTCTACTCGAGGGCAGATCTAGCGCAGTGTGCACTGCATGAATTTCTGTGGATACCAACTTGCTGTCTAACACAGCCAGACTGTCGGAGCTCTCGCTCGTGCTAGCTTGTGGCCTCCGATCAGCCTAGTGGCAGGCGACAAACGTGAATGTTTGGCAATCGCAAACTCACAACTTTTGGCTTATATGTCATTCGGTTCCAGATTTCAAAATAAATTCATAGCACAGCTGGCTGGCACCGCCTTCACCGACAGTTCCCGTCCCCCCACAATACAAACAGCATTGAGAAAGGGTGCGGGTACAAGCATTCTCGGATGCTCAGTACTGAAGACCTGTTCAAGGAGTTGCGGCATTAATAAAGCGCATACCAAAAGCTCTAACGGCACACGCTCCAATGACGCGCGGCGGCTTACCCAAAACTGGAGAAATGCACTCCATTGAAACAATGGATGAAGAGCTCGAAAATATGCCTGTGTTTGTATCCCCCATCCCAATCCATCCCACGTCCACCCTCACCAGGATTTCAACAGTAGGCGAGCGACTGGCCGTACCGGATCCAGAGGCGCTACTTCCTGCGTGGAAGCGGCAATTGCGACGTTCCAAGTCGAACGAATCACGGAAACGAATCCTACATTTTCTCATCCCTGGGTCCCACAGGAGTATCGTTTCGGGACAATTAGGATCAAATGATGTTGGCGGCCATTGGATGACCCAGACAGCTGAAGGCCCTAATAAATTCAACCGTGCTGACGATGCTGCAACTGCAGCAGCACTTGCAGCAGCTGTTGCCGCCAATTCCCCGCCGCGAATGAGCGATGCAACCCACGCGTTTCTTCATACGCTGGCTGGGGCAGCAGGGGCCGTTGTAGCTATGGCAGTAGTTTACCCGCTGGACTCGCTCCGCACCATCCAATCCGTACAAGGTGGATCCGCCTGGGAGGTTGTAAAGCTTCACCTGCGCCATGGTGGGTGGAGGCGCTTGTATCGTGGGATGAAGGCGGCTCTTGCAGGTGTTGTTTTTAGCTGGGGCACCTACTTTTTCGTTTACACGCTGGCGAAACAGAAAGAGAAGAACCGGTGGGGCTCCACTTGGTTGCTCAGATAGCAGTTAGCTGTAAATTCAGTTCACTGCATTAGGCACGTTCCCTTGCAACGTGGTTGTATGGCTTCTCATGTCGCAGTAAAGGTTCAAAAGCCAAAACGGGCACAAATCTTCCTATGGCGATTGGTGCTGGAATTTGCTCGACTGTTATCAGCAATCCATGTAAGGGCTGCGTATATTTTCATTGAGCTTTTGGAAGCATGCAGACTACCGGAGCAGCGAGCAAACGGGTGCTTGAAATCCCTTATAGTAAAACTGGACAGGGTTGTATGTGAATGCACATTGTGTTTTCTGCAGTCTGGGTAGCCAACACCCGCCTTAAGGTTGACTTCTCTGCAAAGGCCAAAGAACAGGTAAGTTTTGAACTCTTCACAATCTGCAGCAACGCATCTAGGGAACATCACACCTACGAAAAACCAGCAACATGCAAATGGGTTGAACAACTTATCCATTGGGCGCCTGCGATCGCTCCTCCAGCTGAATTTTTTTCTCTGGGGAGCTGCAGGGCATCTTCACGATGCTAAAAGAGATCCTGCGCAAGGAAGGAATTCGTGGATGGCTTTCTGGCATTGTGCCAGCTCTAGTTCTGGTTTTAAATCCTGCCGTTCAATTTACGCTCTATGACCACTTGCGGGCGAAGCTGATGCAGCTAAAACAGGTTGGCTAGTAGCCTTCCCTGATGGGCCCTACACAATACAGTGTCTACCGCTCATTCTGCGCTGCAGTTACCGATTAAGTGTTTAGTGCGTTTGCTTTCGTAACAGGGATGGCGCACCGCCTCCCGAGCGTCGTCTTCGAATTCCCTCAGCAGCGAGCATGGCAGCACAGGTTCCCTCGTTTCGGATAGGACGCTGCGAGTCCGCGTAACACCGGCTGAATCGTTCGTAATGGGTACGTCTCCTCTCCGTGTAAAGTCAATAATCCTATGCTTCAGAGTGTTCCCAGACGTTCAGCTAGTCACGATGTGGCGTCTCTTGCGCGCTGTGCAACAAACAGCCGTATTCCGTTTCAGTGGATTTGCCGACTATGGATGTGCGACTCTGGCTTAGGGTTAACAGCAAAGCTGGCGGCAACTCTTGTGACTTATCCATATCTTGTGGTCAAGACCCGAGCACAAAGCAAAGTATACAACGTAAAGGACTATTCGTGTAAGTACGGCAATGGAGTAGGCAAAACCACAGGCATGTCAATGGGTGCTATGACCCATTCACGACTTTCTAGCTACCACCCAAATGGCTCCTCTTTAAGTTGCTTTGCATGATGCTCGTCTGCTTTCCTCTCAGCTAGTGTGCGAAGCCTGATAATGATTCTCGAGACGGAAGGCCTTCCTGGCCTCTTTGCCGGCCTGCCTTCGAAGCTCACTGCCACATTATTGTCGTCAGCGATAATGTTCACAGTGTACGAGCAACTACTACCCCTAGTTGTCTTAATATTTAGGTCGCTTAGGGTGCCCAACTGTCGAGTTGCCGAAACGTCACAGCTAAGGCGGGCAAGCTGAATGGAGCTGTACCTGCGGCAATTAGACCAATGGATTCCCCATGCGGGTTAGATACCGCCCACTAACCCAAGATGAGAAATGTGCCTGGTCTAAAACTGGAGAAACCCGACGTCCATTTGGATACACGTATGGGATTCTATTGGCGAATGTTGATCGTCAGTTACAGCATAAGAATTCAAACTACGCAGTGCATGTCCAGCGCAGTTGCATTTGGCAATGCTCCCCCACCAAAATGACTTTTAAATTAGGGCCTGTTGTAGGCACCGCGCAGCCCAAGGGAATTTTTCGTTGTCCTGTTTATCAAAGCTGTCCAGCCTGTCGTGAGTTGCCTGCGCGAACTATATTCGCAATAACGGAACGCAAAGTAGAAAAAGCGTCGGCCGAAAGCTTAGGATAATTCGTGTCCACAGAAAATCTCCACCCAGCGCAGCTGCGAGTGCCGCTAGGACCACAGCTGTGCGTTCCGTGCCATGGAGGTCTGGAGGCACAGCCCAACGACAGCGCCACCTACGCACGGGCTAACTCAGAAGAAAAACCCGAGGATCTTCCCTCCGGTGTGTTTTCTGCGGGCTTCCTCATGGTCCATGATGCCGTACGCCGTCGTCAGAACCAAGTGGCCGAATTGGCGAGAAGGCAGCAAGTTCGAGCAGTACTTCTCAATATTAGCCACTGTCACATCGTACCTGAGGACAAACCGCAAATCAACCATGCACTGTCACTCCGTTGCGGGTTTCTATTCAGCATGAAGGCAGTCCGTACCGCTGCAAAATCCAACACAACTAGGCACGCCTAAAGGCAGCAGCGCATACTAGTCTCCCATGGAGTTACCTCGGGCTGATCACACCGCATTTGTTGATGCGCCCAAGCAAGTCCACCACAATCTTCTTGGAGCGGTGGTCATCAACAATTTCGAATTCGCCGATGTAACCGCGCCTCTGCATGCACTGCAGAAACTTAACCACCACCTTGCTGGAGGGTCGAATAAGCACCTGACGGCGCCCCCGCTTCTCTGCGTTGACGATCGTTTTGAGGCAGTCGGCTAACACGGACATGCGCACCATCTGCAGCAGCGGAACAACAAACAAAGCCTCATCCACCACTCCGTGTCTCCCCAGGCGAACATACGAGGTAGGAGTTACCAATCTTACGCACATAATCGCAGTGCAACTAAGGCATGTACACGAGCAAATCAACCATGCGCCCATGTTCGCCGTTCCTGCCCAAACCAGGGGCAAACCGTGGCCAGCCTCTTTTGCTAGCACAGGAAAAGCCTCTACTCCAGCTCATCTCCGGTCTCAGAAACACCTATTGTGGGGCTCATCAATTAGTTTTTGTTTAAACTCCAGAGCGACACAAAGCTGGCACTGGCTCAAGCCCCATCGTCCCCGTGGGGTGGCGCAGCGGGGTAACGTGCAGGACATTCGCAAACGTTAGACAAAGACTTCACCAAACTGATCATATGTGATTTCTGTCCACTGAAGGCACAGAACTGCCGACAACATCCTCGTCAATTGCGCAATTGCTGATCCGCGCCGCGCCTCACAGGGGGCTTGCGTGAATGCCTATAGACCAGTCCCCTACTGTTGTGTAGGAAATAAAAATAGTTGAGTGATAATATAAGTAGGAATGGACAGGCCCAAAACAGCGTAGAGAGGAACATGCAAAGACCCCACACTCCCCGAAAAGCTTGCCCCCGGCTGCACTGCAAGTCCCGCCAATAAACTGCCCCGCTTCGACTTGCCTTCACTAGTTCATTGATAACAAGAAGACGCACGTGCGAAGGCCAGACCGCAAAAGGTTTAATCGCTCATAAGCCTGGAGTGCCTTGGAACCCAGTACTGACTTCGTGACAGCCAATTCAGCCCCGTCCGTGGGGTGTGGAGTTGCACCCCGCAACCGAACCTGATCTGGGGCTTGACTGCTGGTTAGTAATAAAATGCCCCAATAAACCGTCAGATTAGTTTATCCCTTATGTTCTTTGAAGAGTTTTGCGGAACAAGTGCAGTCCTGACTCGTACTGCCTTCCTTCCTTCTGCCGCGTCCGCACCCATTCCTATGCCAACTCTCTGCTACGGGTCGATTGCCTCGTCCCAGAACAACACCATAAGCTGCATTTAGGTAAAGAAGCTTCAGGGAAAGTATTTCAAAAAGAATACGGTCCCCTTTATGTGTCCAGCTGCCGCACACAGTGGTTCATGCTCCTGGGGTACGCTGTAACAGTAGCATGGTGCAGCGAGGGTGGCCGAACGCGGCTGAGGACCGTTGCGAGCTGTAATACGGTCAAATACGTATGACAGAATCCATCCGGAACTAGCAGGTCCTTCCTTCTGCCTACAGGCTTCCTGAGCAATGCAGCGCAAGGGCATGGGGCTAGGGCGAGGAGTATCCAGCCCGTCGAGTTGCAACGCACGCTGACATAAGCCATGCTCTATGGTAAATCCAGATCCGCTGTTACGCAGTACCTGTTTTCACGCTTGCACTAACACTTTATACAATTTTTAAACGCTTGCTTCGCCCTCAGTAGCTAAACTCTTTCAGATGTCCCAAACTAATGAAGGGGTACGCATGGCCTTCCTGAAATTAGTACGTCCGCTTCAACCTGCGTGCAGCGTTTCTGCTGAAAGCTCCATAGGCGTTATTACAATTGCCTGCAGTGTTCCTGCAAACACCGAAACGGTGCACGGGTGACAGAGCTAAAACACTAAGACAAAAGCTTCCTTAATGAGCAACCCACACATGTTGTCCAGGCCCCCGGATTCCTGGGCAGTGCGAATCCACGGGATGGGGCTGTTGCGGATAGGAGCCCGCCTCGCATGAGCTGCGGCGCAACTCAATGCAGCTGGCGCTGCCAGGCAAACCCACGTGCGCGCACAACTATGCCCGCTTTTGACCCCTGCACAACACTGTAGGTAATTTTTAAACGCTTTGTTGGCCCTCATTAGCCATTCTGCCGACAAGTAGGGATGCACGCACCATATTCAGACGGACCATGTTACATATGCCCCCCTCTTCTCCCAGACAGCGCATGGGCGTACGTGCCTGGTGGCCCGGAATAGCCACTGGACAGGGAAAATGGCCAGGCAACAGGGAGAATAACGGCAAATGGATATGCTGTTTCGATTTGCTGCTGGCGCTGCTCACCAATACCTCGGTGGTGCGGGGTGGGCAGTAACGTGGCTGTTGCTGGGGTGTACTGTGCTGTTCGATTGGATTGAGTGCCGCGTTTTGACTTGGGCATCTTAACACGGGACAAAATGCACTGAAGCTTGGTGAGCGCGCAACAGCAGTGCGCGTGTGGGCAGGAGGCCAAACAAACCCAAAAAGGGGGGCTAAGCCAAAAGAACATGAAAGGAATGAAAGTACTGCTGGCTGCACCGCCTGCGTTGCTACTGGGTGGAGGCAATCGAGCATATTAGCATATATGCCTCTAGCTACGTCCGCTCGGCTTCCTCCATGCCGAATTCACAGATACCCCGTTCTCTCCACTTACCTGTTCGTCGGCGAGGCTGCTATTTTCCATAGGTTCTAGGCTCTATTTCTGGATTATTTTAAGGGGCTCTTTCCTTTCTCTTCAGCTATTGCGGTAGAAGTGGAGTTCTCTTCGGCGCGCAGGTATTCCACTATCTCAGCACACTTTCACCCCTTTATTTCCTCTCCGCAGCCCAGCCAGTTACCGACTGCGTATCTCCAGAGGGCGACGCTGCAATGAACGCTTGATGGAAGTGCTATGGGAACGGCGTTGGAGTTGTTTGACCCAGGATTAATACCTTCAGATGTTGCGCTCTGTCGGTAGCTTCCCTAATCTAAGTTTCTTTTGTTTTGGGGTAGCCCATTCCCCTACCCATCTGGGAATATACCTACATCGCAGCTCATGCCAGAAAGTTCGACACTGCGGATGCGTTTCGGAAAAGTGACACACTTGCTCTTCCATAGCCACCACTGTCTTGCCCTCCCCCTAAGTGGAGACGATGCAATAACAACTGTAGCTCTTCTGGTGTATTTTAAAGACGCAAGTACGCATTCACAGAAGCAAGTAACTCCTCTACTACCACCACATCGTGATGCTAGTCATCTTTGGACTGCGGCGTGCGGGCAATAGCACTCTTCATAAACTGCTTACGCAGTAAAACAATTTCCCGATGGATGGGCTGGGCATAATGCCCTCGGAAACGAGGCATGCAGCGGTATTCTTCCTCCATTCTGGAGGCCAGATCTTGTCCAATCATCATTATCCAAGTGCAGAAGAGGCTGAATCTTTGAGAAATGTTGTGAGGGAACATTTGAAAATGTTGTCTTCGCAAAGCGCCCCTACGGCCAGTTGGTCTTCTAGGTTAGGCAGCCCAGCTGCGGTGGTGGTGCTCTAAGCTCGCGCCTCGCCTTCTAAACCAGGCGATGCTACCAGCTTAACAAGAGCCCTCAATATTAGCCATGGGCCTTCGTGACTTGCAATACAGGCAAGTTGGTTGAGAAAAGCGCTCCCAAAAAGCATCTGATCCCTCACTCCAGCCTTTGAGCTTCATTGGCACATCGGCCAAATCGCTCAGGCTGGTGAGGAAAGAAGGCAGCCTCTCATGAGTCTCATGAGTCGCACCACTGCTTGCTCCAACTCATGCTGTGAGGCAACCCCACATGCAGGCATGCGCAAGCTCCTTGCTGAAGCATGCACCAACACTCTAGACGATTGTTAAACACTTTCTTCGGCCTCGGTAGCTAGTCTGTGCTCGAGTAGAAGTACATTTACCAACATTAGACACACCATGCTACAGACGATGCAACACGGTCCGCCCGCTCCACTGCCAAGAAAGCCTCCACAAGGACGTACTCTCACGAATAGTGTGAAGCCGTGTGGCATGACAGTATCCGTGTAGGATAATATGAGTCACAGCAGGCTTAACATATTCTAGAACCTTTTGTTTTCCGTTCAGTGGGTCTCAAAGGAAGAGAGCATTTTTCCAAGAGGGGACTCAATAGTGTTCAACGCTTCAATGACCACGGGATGTGAAAATAAATTTGAGTGAATGGTAAAAACAAGAAAATTATGCAAAATGGAATCAGGATCATGTACTGTGAGCCACAGTGCTAACAAGGCTCATGCTGCCGGTACCAGGCCTGTGAGAGACCTCTCGTCAAGCTCACGTGTACAGTCCCCCGTTCTATTTATGTGAATAGCTCTTGGCTTTTTTTGTTGAAGTGTCTGGAATGTTTACATGCTGCAGGGTTATATACACGACTTAACTAGGGATCGCACCTAATGCGGGACCCATATTAGCGATATCTAGTGGCTGGAGGAACATAGCGACCTACCAGGAGGGTGTACCTCCCACCCACCCGTTCGTGATGCTCAAAAGCACCCAAGTGCACTCTCTCTATAAAAAACAGCATTTAAATGACACGAGGGGGTTCGTTAGACTCAATTTATAAAAGCGCTACCCTCCTTCGGCCCGCTCTGACGTCGTCTACTCTTCTTCTCTTAATTTGACGGTGCTCTTTGCCGCTGCCTGCAGGGTGCAACTACTGTCCCTGAGCAGGTATTGAAGGGTGTAGCTCCTACATCTCCAACTTCGTAGAATTGTCTTTGAAGCCTGCATTCTCCGGGAACTTCCTCCCAACTGAACATTGGATCTGGGGCGCCGGAAACGCATCTGGAACCGCCCCGGGACATCAGCCGACCGCTGTGACTGCGAAAACAAACGCCTCAGCTTGGCAAGAACCAGAAGGACCACTTTGTTCCCGGATTTCGTGCTGCTTTACACTTGACCAACTTGTCTACTCGTTTTCCCCGTCAGACATATTGCTGCGCACTGACCCTGTCTCACTTCGTTCACAGTCCCCAAGAAACGCCCCCTCCAGTTGAGGTGAGGACAGAGAGAGCGCAAATCATAACAGATACGATTTGGGTACTCACCTGCCCAGCTTTACACGGCCATGAGCCTGCGAAGGTGGACCAATTTAGAAACTTGAGTTGGGGATCAGTGGGTAGACATGAACCGCAGAGCGGTCTTGAATTACGATCATCATCCAGAGGTAGCGAGTGGGTTTTCCATATTAATAGAAGAATATGAGGGGTGGCGAGCTGCAAAGTGATTGCTTATTTCAGCTTCCGTTGAATGGTTGTTCAATCTACCCGTAACTCAGCTGATATATGCCTTTATGCATTCTGCCACTGTACGTGAGTGGAGGTTTATTGCGGCATGTGAGCAAGCTGATTGCTGTGTGGTGTCTCAGGCATAGGCGGCAGGGCTGTTGAGTCAATTCGTAAGTGAGCGTCTGGTTGTTGTTTGACAAAGAAGATGGCGGTCTTCCGCTCAGGCATTCGGTGGGCGGACATGTCCACTGAATCATTCAGCCGCAGCAAAACCGCCCCCGGAAGCACTGCACAGGCTGCACTTTTATTGCAAGCTGAACAGGCAGAGCAATCTTATGCCGCAGACGAGGTTGCAGCTCTTCCTGAGTTCGAAAATAGCCAGGCGGGGATGAATCAGTATTTTCTCGAGGCAGCTGCTCTAGGTGGCGAGGATTCCAGCAAAAACGGAAACGCTGCTGGCCATGGTGCCGGGCATGTAGCGGCTGCATGCTCATCAGACAAATCGCCTTCTAGCAAACCAAGTCATGACGAGGATGACGGCCCCGCTGCGAAGATGCCTGGGTTCAGGGGTTTGTTGGTGAGCGCTCCAAATGATGGGGCTAGCGCAGGCGCGAGCGATGATGCTTCAAATGCTGGCAGACGCGAGCGGAGTGGGGCTTGCAAGATAAGTGAAGCAGCAACGCTCACGCCAGCGAAAAGGAATAGAAGGGCATCTGGAGCTCCTGATGGGGTTCCGAATGCAGTTGTGCAGAACTCGGAGGCTCCCGCACAAGATGGGTCTGCATCAGCTGCTGCTCAAGAGGCGGTATCTCAGCGCCTCCCTCAGAGCAAAAGACGCAGATCTACTTTTTCTCGCCGGTCTGCAGATTGTCATTTCCCTGAACGAGTCGCCAGTCTTGAGTCATCAGTCATTTCTCACGGGCAACAGGGGATACGCCGTAGCGCGAAGGGGAGTGATCGGCACCGATCAGGCGGGACGCGCAGAGCTTCTGAGGGCCCGTCCAATGCAGGTCTGCTGCTGCAGATGGGGGCTCCCGCCTTCCTGCAACTGCCAGGTCTTGTGTCTCCTATGTTCATGCCAGTTGGATTGCCCCCAGGGACGGCTGCCCCTCTGCCTGGTCTTCTCCATCCACAAGCAGTTAAGAAACAGCAAGCGATGGCCAACAGCAGCAAGGAGCAGCAGGAGCAGGAGGATGAGGAAGAGTGGCATCGGCGTGAATGCGCCAGAATGAAGGATATAGCTATCGGTAAGGCTACTGCAGGCTATCGCAACTTCCTCAAGCGGGTGGGAACGGAGCGGCGCTCAGAAGGAGATCCGATGACGCCAGATGCAAAACTACGATGCAGCAAAGCCCAATTTCAGCGCGCTTACCAGAAATGGAGGAAGCAGCTGCACCAGTATGACACCGTTGAGGACGAATCTACTGTTGGCACGCCGTCACCAGCCGAAGCGCAACCTCCAGCCACGGCGGTGGCAAAGGCAGAAAGTGGAATTGATGGTTCACCAAAGGATACATCTGATCAGCAGGACTTGGAGGCGATCATGGCATTCAACAAGGAATGCGAGCTAGCAGGGTTGTAGTTCAACTGGGCTGCCATTGCCGCTTCCCCCGAAGGGGATTCCAGAAGGCGCGTTAGTACGCAGCACGCGTCGCCTTTGTATGGTGCAGCGTACTGTTAGTCACAGACGAGGAAACGTGGACCTACGAATTTTGCCCATAGAAGGGCAAGAGAGTATCTCAGACCCGGCCAAAACCTCCCCAAAGCTTGGCCTTTAAACCTGCACTTCGCGTAGTGCGGAAGAGCTTTTCGTGGACAGAACATAACCGAATACTATACAGTAGCATCTGAAAGCGGAACACCCCTGTGCGCCACTATCCTTTATAGTGTTTGTTGGCAGCTACAATGTAGGAGACGAAAGAAGTCCATTTAAAACACAGGATGCCAGACAAGTTTTGGTGGCAAAGCCCTGGTTAATATGCTGCCGCAAATGCCAAAGTAGTTTCTGGCGAACGGCTATGCATACCTATACCTGCCGGGCATGCATAAAAGTTCTAACTTAACTCTACCTGACGTTCTGCGAGAGGCGCTGCTGAACAGGCACAATTCGGGTGCACGCCTTCCTCTGGTAGAAAACTAATTCTTTTGGATCATTTGTGGCTAAAAGCTTGCGCCTCTAGTAGTCGGACGCTTCTGGGGGACGCGGCGGTGCAGATATGTTGGTCCTCCGCCTTCGACCCCCAATCGCTAAAACGATGCCATCGGACCCCTACTCGCTGAAATGACGCTTCACCCTTCGCCCATAAATTGATAGCTCTCAACGATCCCCGACTTCGCCCGTCTAAACACTCCGCGAAATGGCAACCAAATCGCCTGGCTGCTCCCCTCAGGCCGAATAACTGGAAACCTTGCGTAATCTTGTGCGCAGCCGTCTGCAGTTCGGATAATCGTGGATACTTCCAGGTGAAAACCGGTGACACAGCTCAGTGAGCTGCTGGGAAGATTTACGAGAAGTGAATAAACCGGAGCTCCAGGGGATGAGTGTACGCATGAGTGACGAGGAAGCCCACCACAGAGAGAAGTGCCCCTAAAAACGGGCAGAAGATGCCGATTAGGAGTTCCCTAGTCATTGTGTGACGTCTCCCGAAAATCAGGTGGGACATGTAAATGCCAGTTGCTACGGCTGGATTCATTGTTGCCCCCGCAATACCGCCAAATAGAACGGCCATTGACGCAGTCAAGGGGATGGTGACCAGGCTGACATCTCCTGCACTCGTTGCAAATGTAAGTACAAGACATGTGTAGATAAGCAGGATTGTTGGAATAACTTCGTGAAATATTGAACGAGCTGAAGAAGCGCCAGGATCGAGAGGGAGAACTTCAAGGGGCTCTCCCATGATTGCCCAACCAATCAGAGCTCCGCAGGTGCCTCCGATCAATTGACAAATGAAATATGCGATGTACTCAAAGGCGTGGAAGTGCTTAGAGGTCACAAACATTGCCGTAGAAACTGCAGGATTAAAGTGAGCACCACTTATGGGGACAAACAAGAATGTCAGTACGTACACCACAGCAGAGACCGAACAAGGTGCGAAGATTGCATGGCTCCCCTTTTCTGCCAATGCAACTGATGTAACAAGAAATAGCGTGCCGAGAAGTTCACAACAAAACTTTTGGGCGCAAAAAATCACATACAACATGCGAATATGCCTTTTGCTTAATCCTTCCTGGGAGTCCTCCGCAGGTCCTTCAGCAACAGGAAATTCCGAGCCTGCACCAAAAAAAGGCAAATGCACCTGACCACCGTGAACGAAAATGCGCCTTGCTGACACCAAAAGGAGACATGTTTCCGGTGAGGGTAACAGGCCTGCCACCAAGTATCCCTATCTTCAAGCAGCAGAATAGAACCTAGTAAAACATCGCTGATTACCATCTCCGGATGATGGAACTGGTAAGAACATCTGAGAAACTACCGACTGTCCTCGCTGAGTCCTCGCCTCTGAGCCGCCACCTGAGGGGAGAAACGCACGACGCGCAGTTCCCTTAGCTGTGACTGGCTACGAAAAACGTACTAGAACGGCGTACACATCCTTGTAGTCGCCACAGTTTTGCAAGCCGTCCACCGCCGTAATTTACACAATCCCCTAACTACGGCAACCATCGCCTGGGTCGCAGACACGTAAGTGCCGGTTTCAAATGAACTGTAACACGGAGCCACCATCCCGCGTAGTTTAGCATGCTGCAGAGAGCACAGTGCTGACCATCAAAAGCTGCGCTGCCCACTACAGATACGTTCGCGTGCAGCCTGACCAAGCAGGGAATGCGATTTGGTAAGACGCACTTGCTTGAGTTGTATCGCTACAAGCATGCTGACTAGTTTGGGAGAGCCGCATCACTGCCTGCCTCTGGCTCTAAAGCCCTCAGGCACGCTTCATATATTACTGCAGCTAGGCTGTATGCGTGAAGGAATGCCTACCTCCTCGGTTCAATGTCGCCGCGAAGTCCCTTTGGCCCAGGAGGATGCCTGTGTCTCCTCGAGAGTACCCGGACTGCACCCTCTGATACGGCGTCTGCTTTGCAAGAGACATCTGAGTTTGCACTAACAGCCGCACGCAGCATTCAGTCGCACAGAAGTGAACGGAGTTACTTGACGGAGTTGCCTAAGGTTGCAATGGCGCACGAACAAGGCAACCGCACATGAGCACTCCATACGTACAGGCAAGCAATTCGGCCTGAGAGCACGCGTTGACAGGTCAGGAATGCATAATACAGAAAAGCAGGCAAATGGGTGGTGTGCAGTACAGTGTGTTGCTTACATTCGGCCTCGACAGGAGGCGACAAGCCTCCCGGTGGCGCGGGGAAGCTTGACAGTTGTCCTGCAACGCTGGAGGGCTCAGGGGGAACATTCCCCTGCTGCCCATTTGATTCAGTCGATGCCATCCTGTCAATTGCTACTCTCTTCTTTTTGAAACTGAGTCAGCACTCTGCGAAACGCAACGCCTCTCCCAAGCACTCCACATCTGTCTTTCCGCATGAATGGCAATGTGTAGTGCAGCAGTGTTGAGCCTTCGACAAAGAAACCAACGTGAAGTGAACACTCACCGAGAAATTTCGTTAGCATAGGGCTCCTGAATGAGTCACTGCCAACAGGAGCCCCCAGTTGAGACCACGCGGCAATATTGAAAAATTCTTCCCGGGGAGGTCTCTAGATACCTATGAAACACCCAAGAAATATGTACATTATGTCATCTAGTTAGTTAAACAGACCCAAAACTTTACTTTAAATGCTAAAGTTCGAGGAGCTCCAGTAAAGCAACGACCACGTGCTACGCATGAACCACCTCCAGCGGTCTTTCCGTGTGAGTGCACGCACAGGCCGCATGGATCTTTTTTCAGTTGCTGCCCATCGAGTTCCCGAAATGCATTTTGTTTTACCATTTGTTCCTTTCGGCTCCCACACTTATCGCATGTTGTTGAACCCCACGCATGCAGCATAAGCAGACGACTGGTGTGCCCGTGTGCATAGTCGTAGTACTCCAGTGGTTAGCAGGAACATGGTATCCTCATTTCGCCCGTATAAAACAGAAATTTACCAATAACACCTTCATTTATATGCATCATCAGTCTCTACCGTTTTGCACTGCAGAAAAGAGGCAGCATCCCTCATGCATCTCCGCAGCAGGGTGAGTGGGCAGGGGACATTTCAACTTTCATTGTGCTAGCCGCTACTTTGGACACTGGCTAGAGCAGCAAGACTCCGAAGGGTCATTCAGGTGTGGCTACACTGCGGAGTCGGGGCTTGACTGGCGCTCTCATCGGCTGCGAATGCTTACGTACGTGTAGATAGTGCTGCGAAGGTAAGGAATAGTTCGCTTACGACTGGCGACCCCAGAATCCTTTTCCCAAATCAAGCTGAGTCTAGCGGTCTACCGGCTCAGATATTCTACTTTCACCAACGCGGCCCGTATGCGTTGCGTATAGGACATTTAGGTTTGCCACAGAAGCTCTGTGTTTGTCTGAGTTCATACTCTTCAGTATTTTTTATAGGAGTTGGATGTATGGGTTCTTCTCGCTAGCGGGAGCCCAAATGATGGCGTGGTGCTTGATAAACTGCACATTATTACATAAGGAGATACATCGATCTAAACAGAGGTGCAGCAGCGTCAAAAGAGTTGGGAACATTCTTACAAAGAAGCAGCTATCTCCAGGAACCGTACAGATAACGGCGCAATGGCATCCTAGAGTTGTTACGTAAAAGGGGTGACCTATCATGAGCTGCAACGCACCTTGCTGCGATACCGGCTGCAAGGCCCACGCGAGGCATCGCCATATGCAAGCATGCATAGCGCCTTTTGTGACGCATGCATTAACGTTGTACGCCATTGTAAAATGATTGTTTCGCTCTCACCAGACAAGCTCAACGTACGTAGTAACATATGGACAAACTTCAGGCGGGCCATGCTACACCTGCCCTCCCTCCCACACAAACCAACGGCATATTGCCTCGTCTGCTTGCTCGCACAGGGATGGGTAGGTCCAGGGGAGGGTTCCTGCAGCAAATGCTTACGCTGCATTATCTGCTGCTTCAGCGCATGCCGTTCCGACTGCTTCGTCGGTTCCTACTGCCGCAAATCGTGCTGCTGCATCCTTGCCTGCTGCAACTCTTGTTGCATCTCGTGCTGCGGTTTTGCTTTCTGGTGCAGCTGTTGCTGCAACGCCATGTTGCTGGAGCTTCTGAGGCTCAGCGTACAGTTTCTACTGCTGGCGCTCCTCGTGCTGCTCTGGGTCCAGCTGCTGTTGCTGCTGCCGCAGCTGCAGTTGCTGGTCCTGCTGGTGTTGCTGTTGCTGTCAATGCTATCGTTGTAATTGTTACTGCTATTATTGTCCATCTTATTGGTGCTGGTATTGCGGATCTTATTGCTGCCGCCGCTGCTGCCGGTGAAGTACCTCAACCGCCACATCTCGATGTAGTGCTGCGAGTGGCGCCCCCAGCATCTCAAGATGCATCTGCCGCTACTGAATATGCTGCCTCTGTAGGAATTGCTGCAGTCGCATGATCCTATGGCAACACGAGCCTGCCACAGCTCGTTTCTGCGCCACTTTTCATGCTCTTCGATTGGAGGCGTTGCTCAATGCAGCCATTGCAGCCTAATCAAAAACGCCAGGAACCGATACCGGCGAGCACAGCCAATATGCAGGTGGTGCAGTGTGCTGGCCTGACCAAAGGCGGACCCAGCCGCAAAACGTGAAAAAATGTAAGTCATTGGTGACAGAGCGGAGCTAGCCACAGTTCGGCGGGGACTGGATGTGGGGAGCACCTTATTACAAATACATTACCACATACGCTCTTGAAGGAGCAGTTGCCAACACACGGTTGTACACAGGCCAACTTTCCGCCCTGCTGCGCATGCCCACGCCTGCAGTCGGTGCTGGTATGTCAAGGAGGGCTCACGGTGGCTCGTGAAGGAAAACTTCGCACAAACGATTCTCCATTTTGCTGGGAGAATTTGAAGAGATTCCTCGGATTCCCTGAAGTGCAGACTTGCCACACTGGCGGTAAGAATGCGATTTAGTCCTATGCACTAGCCCGAGGGAGGACAGCAAACGGCTCCATCCACTGTATGCAAACTTTTCCGGCTGCTTGCCTTCCTGCGCTCTTCCAAGAAGGTGCGAAGGTGGTATGAAGACACTAAAGCCAAGTCACCAAGGTTAGAAATGACTGCCGTGCGCTACTTGTTGTAGTTTCTTGGCTAGTGTTCTCGTGCTGTCTTTGTGCGTTCCCGAGCTTCTGCAAGATGCGTAGGGAAGTCAGCAGCGGCCGGCGTACGGGGCTGTCTGCGTGCAACAGGGACCAACATTGGGTCAAGAAACGCCGTTTTGGTGCACGGCTGGGAATCCTGAGGGCAAGGGGTTGAAGAATACACTGTTGTACAATATATAAGGGAGCAGGGCATTCAACTTTAAGAAATTTTGCCGAATACAGGGTGGCAAATACTGCACAAGCGCTTGTTTAGTGATGCCAGTGTAAGCGCCTGACTTCGGATGGTTCGTTCTGGCCATATTATGGTCGGCATCAAACTGAGACACCAGTTCTCGCCACAAGGCGCTAACAAACTTTCCTTCCCCTCCATTGATGGAACTTTTTGGAAAACCGTCGAGCTGCCAGACTAGAGTAGTGCAAAATTGGGCCACTCTCTCTGTTGTAACTACACTTGAACATGGTATGAAATGGGCGTGTTGCTGGGTCTAACCAAGATGGCGTAGATGCCAAATGCGCCTCCTATTAGGGGTGAGCGCACTACGAAAAATATTGAAGTACTCCCCGACCCGTGTGGGCATCGGATATACATGCAACAGCCCTCATTTGTAAGCGTTCGAGAGCTTTCGCTGTTGAGATTATGGGCTGAGATTCTGCCCAGAATCTCAATAGCAAAAGACCTGGAACACCTTCAAATGGCCCGCTGAAACATGGCCGTGCATTTTGTGCAACTTTTCCTGAGGAGCTGGACGGTATAGTAAGACGATAATTGGAATAATAATAACAATACTAATTAATAATAATAGTAACAAATAATAATACTATAATGGGCGAATCCCACGGAAGAGATAGCCGTCTATTTGTTAGTGCTTTAACCATCGCCCATGTTGAGCCTAGCCAGGACCGCAGCCGCGCGAGTCAGGAGAACGCCACCTAGAAAAGACATGGGAACCTTAGCGGATGAGCCGTGGTACGATGCTTGACCGATAACCTTCTGAATGTCCATGAACGTGAAAGGGGTGGCGGCCACCTCTGAATCGCTTCAGTGCTTGCCGGATCTCGTTCGACTCCTGCCGCAGAGATACGAAACCTTAGAGGCTGTTTTCTCGCATGAAACGGAAGCAATATTGTGTTTTTACAAACTACGTCTTCTCCCGTAGCACCTGCAGAGCATGGTGCAATTCCGGCAAGTGCTCCTGCCCATTCCGGTTTGCACAGAAGCACGTCACCCATGTGTAAAACCACCCCTTCCTCATTGACTGGCCCCAAGAAGTCGTGATTTGCCTGTCGCTGCAGTTCGACAGGGGTATTGATGAGCCCAAAGAGCATACGTGTGCCCTCTAAGTTCCAAGTGTGCTTATGGAGTGCCCAAGACAATAAGATTTTTTTTGGCTCGCTTCTCGCGCCTTCCCTGATAAACCATGCAGCGCTACTACGTATAGCAAGAGGCCTCGTTCTCGGATGAGAACCGCCTTGACCGGCAGCAGAGTTAGGAAGATAGTCATGGAAATCCAATTGACCTCCCCCCCGGCCCGCAAGCCTCCACAGTCAAGGGCTAGGGGGGGAGCCGGCCTCTCATCAGCTGCAAGGCACCGTGTTGCAGCTAATGCTGCAAGGCAGCCCCACTTGCAAGCACAACCAAGACCCCCTTTTCTGCATGCTCTAACGCGGAAGTCAGCTGTTGAGCACCTGTTTGGCCCTTCCTAGCTAGCTTGCAGGTAGGTAGAGGTAAAAACAACAACTTCACACAGACCACGCTGCACCCATCCGTTGGTCTGGTTTTCTTCCGCGCAAGGGCAGATCCTGATCAATTTTTATTATTCGAATGGTGACACTGACCTCTGCCATAGACTTTGGGGAGAATATCTGACATGTTTTCCGGGCAAGGTGCCTTTACGACTAACCAGTGCCATAAACTAGGCCGCTACGCTATGAGGTGTGAGCTCCGCAGCTTGCGCGTGTGCTTGTGAAGCATGTGCGACTACCATGTACACCGAGAAACATTGAAAACAGCAGAATACGGTGGTGAGGTGCATTGGAGTAACGCTGTTTGAGTTCACTAAAGCACCTGGCCTCCCTTCCACTCCCCAGACGTCCTAGGCAAAACAGCACGCAGTTCGGGAGCTGATGCTGAGAGGTAGTTTATGTGCAATGCCTCTTCTTGTAACTTCTACTGAAAGGCAACAACACATGCAGGGCTACCCAAGCCTCCTTTGGATGCATGCACGAACACTGTAAAGTTCTTAAACACCCGTTGGGCGCTCGGTAAACAACCGGCACGCAAGTGGGGACAAGCGTGCCAACCTCATAGAGAATACGCCACAACTAACAACCAACTAAGTATTTTGTTGCCTTAGATGCAGCGAGGCACAGGCTCCACATGGAAGCCTGCACCACTCTACCAAATTCTACCTTCGCGGCCAACCACCAACTCGCAGACGCACCTCACATTGGTGAACAGTGAAGTCATTTGCCACAGGTAGAGACTGATTACTCTTTAGTTGGCATGCCCTTGTATAATAAGTAGTGTCAGCCAGCACTATTTTGTTGCGAGCTCTACTATGTACTAGCCATTTGTGAACTGTCCCACGGGCGTTCCGCACTGCCACAGCCAGTGCAAGGTTCCACATTGTAACCCAAACAGTTGTTGGTATTGACCATGCGTGAACCTGAAAGAAACACCAAATTACTGCTGCATAATCAAGAAACTAGCAGTGCCGCATTGAAAGCCTGATTTGCTGAGGGATAAGCAATGCAACCGATAGAACTACGGGCAATAGGCCCGTTACTTTTATCGAAGCCTAGCTATCGCCACTAAAACACCTATAAAAATTAGCAGGCAGCTGCAATAACAACCGCTGCTATGGGGTGATAAGACAAGGTTTCAATGGAACAGCCAGCCAAGTCGCCGTCAACTGCGTTTGACCCAGGACAAACAAACCAGAGGCTGGGGCATGCTTCTGTCTTGGCCATGACACCTAGTCTGGCTGCCTGAACCCACTCCTTCAACAAAATGGCTTCCACATGGTTTCCTGGGATTGCGCCCTACTGCACGCTGAGTCGAAAGTACGATCAAGTCTGGCAATTTCCGAATTTGTTGAGGCAGATATGCAAAATTCTGACATACCAAAGAAGCCAAATACGTCAAATTAAAACTTTGCCGTTCAGACTGCACTCTCCTTGATCAACGCTTAAACGCCTTTTGCTTGGTCACGGCTTTCAGATGGGGGAGGAACGCCCCTCCTGCACAGAAATTAGTACAAGACAGGATCACACCCTAGAACAGCGGCACGCAGCGAAATCTATAGTTTACAGCGAATAATTTAAGTCATTATCTACTGCCCAAACAAGAGCTGGAAATATATAGCCTCCTGAATGATGCGGTCACTTACCGCGCCTCTTTAGACTTTAGCCGAGACCCCGGAGCCTCAGCCGGCTCGCTTCTGCGACAACACAGCAATTGTGTAGCCAAAAGCAACTCAACGCAAAAGGAGACGTCACTATGCAACGACAAGAGTGCTGAAAGCGGCAGTTCCAAAAAAACCTGGCAGCGTGGAAAACAACATTTAAAAGGACAGTACAAGAATAGAACATACCGGCCTGTCCCCCGGCCTTGAGTAGCATCTTGGGCTAGCTCGTCGGTGTAACATCGACCCGTTGGGCCGCCTTCCTCATTTGTTTTTTTTCCGTCGCTGCTTTTGCCCCTTCCAAAGGTAATTTTGCCCCAACTGCATATTTTTCCCCATGCTTTGTTGCCTAGGCCCGAACTTGCTTTTGCTAGTGGTTGCTCTTCACGGGTAGGTTGACGGACCGAAGCAAACCTTCTTACGCCTGTAACAACACTCCAGAACAATAGAACAAGGCACAGCCTTCCAGCCAAACACGGATGAATACACTCGCTCCCCGAAGGGGAAAGAACGCAGTAGTCTATCTAGCTAGGGTTACCGCTGAGACTAATTCTTTTTGAGCAGATTGTTTAAAAACAAGCATAGAGCATAAATGGGTAATAGTATTGAAGGACCTCCCAGCACAGTTCCCTTTCCACTGAAATATTCCATCAACGCGTAATTTGATTGCAGGGAACAGAAAAGCAAGAACGTAAAGGTGAGGAATATTCGCCTGCACTGTATGCTGTTTGGACAGGGCTCCTTGAAAGGAGTCATACCAGGCCTGCTTAAAGTTGCGTTGAAGTCTCTTTGACCCAGAAGAATCCCCGTATCTCCTGGGGAGAATCCAGACCGCCTCCTCTCATAAGGAGTCTGCTTCGAAAGGATCGCTTGCCTTTTCACTGGCAACACAAGTGCAAGCAAACAATGAAGAAATGCGAGCGCTTCGTCAACACATGCGCGGACTTCAACCTCCGCTATTACTGTTTGAAGTTTACGACTAGCAGGTAGTGCGACTCCCCAGAAAAGCAGGCAAAGCAAGCCACTCCACAACCAAAATGCAGAAGCTCATAGCCACACATGTACGATAAGCTGCGTCAAGAAGGAAATACACGAGCGGCGCACTGGGCAAGAGCAAAGAATCCGAGAGCAAAGAATCCGTACCATGGCACTCCAGAGCGGTCGGCACCGTCCCCGAAGGAGAGGAACAGCTAATCCCCTCGCATCCTAAGTTGGACGTTGATACAGGGTTTCTCCCCTGATGTAGCGAAGGTGAGTTCGACGGCATGTTCTCTGGTGTGTCTCCCGATGATTGCTGCAAGGTCGCTCTGGGGACAAAAAAGCCCCCCGCAGACAAGTAGACTAACCATACACAGGGACTGAAATTCTTTTATGGTCACAATATTATTTCTGTATCGAATAAGTGCAGCAAATACGATACAGGTTGTTGCTTACGGCGATACGACCGTTGGCGAAAACTGTCCGTGGACACGTAAACGGGTGCTGTGCTAAGGTCTCCCGAGACCTGTAACGCATCAACCAGCATATATTCTTGAACAAAATAGGCACAGCCATCAAGCTGCGGCACATTATCGAGAAACCACACACCAACTTCTAGAAAGGCCAAGTGTTCCCCCTTTGCCCCACCCGAGGTCCCCAAGGGACGAAGAATGTGATGCTCTCAATCAAAATAGCGGTTATTCCAGCTGATGAATACTTTTAAAATAAGACCCAGAAAAAATCGTTGACGACGACCGCTATTGAGCATCCAGCATTCACTCTGGTCCACCGGTATGCCAACGGGCAGAAAGCCCGTGAGCATGCCAGAGAGCGCTTTCATCGCTCGCCACGACGCCACCCACCAAAGATGCCAATTAAACATAGAAACCACCGATGACATTCTTTAAATTGACAAAATATGTTCCTTGCTTAGTGCTAATGTATTGGGCAAATGATGATGCTTGCCAAACACCCAGCCACGAGTGTTGTGCCGAGACGCATCTTCCCGTGTACGGTCACTGACCGGGCATTGCCAGTAAAAATTAGATGCCTATACGTATGCTAAGTCTAAAAGAAAAGGCGCTGCCTCTTTTATCTCCTCGTGTAGGTAGCTGGCTAGCCTCCAGCTGGGAATTAGACTTCCGAATGCACATTCCCAGATGGCCACAGGTCACCTCTGAAGCACTGCTTCGCATTCTGCTCTTTAATTATTCTCCTACCATTCGGCAAAAATCCATACTACTGGAGGACTAGTGTAGCAGTCGGTAGAGCTGGAGGGGTGCATGGGGAGACCCAGCTAAAACCGTTAGTTGTGGACATCTGCGTAAACAGTATGCAGTCTTAAGCAAACAATGGCGCTTGAGCATCCCGCCCGTGCTTCCACGATGTAGCATTCGAAGAAAACTCTGCATGCACCCTAACCTAAGTCCACTCTGAAATTTTTGCACTTCCTACGGAAGCGCTGCTGTGCCGACTACCATGTGTCACGTTCCATTAGATATGCTAAACTGTTAAGAAGCGACAAGAAAACTCCCAATGAGAAAAGCACGCTGAAAACCGAAAAACAGTGAAAATTCCGTCCCAGCTTTTAGTTGAGCCTCGCGGGAAAGATGGCAGTTAAACGCCAACTGGAAAAGCCTTGTAGATGGATGCTACACCGTTCCCTGGACAAGCAAACACTCAAAAGGTGTGTCAAAAGCTACACTCCACTGAGACAGATCAGGGAGGAGAGCTCAAAGTAGGACTGTCAAGTCAGGCCATTCTTGAAGGAGGCCTTGCGAGCAACGCTTTGGGAACGTTCGAAAGGTCCACCGTCTTCAGCTGAAGAAGACGAGCTGCCCTAAAGTACAACAGTCAAAACAGTGCAAAAAGAACGAAATGCTCAATAATGGCACAAGCACACGAGTAAGCAGGGACGCACACAGCTGCTGCTAGTGCTCAGCAAGAGGTCCAACTATCTTGCATTCAAATTTGTCGCCGCTTCACCTTTCCTCAGGTCTTCCGCCACATTTCCATCCCAGCTGTCTCAGCTTCTCCTTCACAACTGAAGCCACACAAGCACGATCCGCAAAGTGTAGCCGTCTGCAAGCAGGAGAAAAGGCAACACTCCCGCGCTACCGGCTGGAGTGCACGCAGCAAAACACACAACGCTGGAATCAGGTGATAATGAATAACAGAGGGAAAAGCTGACACAAAAAACAGAAACATGTACATCGTCAACCCATACTAACCTGCAGCATCCACGGCCTTCGCAAGCTCTTCGGCGGTGTTGAATCTGCTCACATCCAGCTGCTGCGCCTCTCTAGCCACCTTTTCGGCTATCTTCGCCGCAGCTTTCTCTGCTAGAGCTGCTGCCCGAGCTGCTTCGGCAGCAGCTTCTGCCTCTCTTTGAAGCTCTTCCTCCCGTGCAGCTGCGGCCTTCAGGCGCATCTGCTCCAGCTGCTGCATGAGCGCCGCCGCTGCTGGATCGACTGTGGGACTCTCGGGTGCAGATTTCTTTGCGCTGCCGATGCATGCAGTCCCCGATTTTGATCTACTGGCATCTGATGAGCGTGTCAGGGGACTCTCTCTGCTTGCGCCAGCAGTGGCACTAGCCTTGGACGCGACACCGCTGGAGCTATCAGACGATGAACCTCTGCTACTGTTCGTGGTACTGTCCTGCTCGACAACTTGGCCCACTTCGTCTGCATCTGTATCGGACCACTCTTCATCCTCGCTGTCGAGCTCTACAGCATCACGCAACTGGGAGAACAGTGCCCTGTTTTGTGGCGCTGCAGCTCGATTGCGCTGTTCCTCTTCCAATTTTCTCCTGCACAGACAACCAGCAGCAACCACAATGGCATGCCCTACACACAAATAATTCCTGCAGGAAGAAGAAGCGCCCCTTTGGTGCAGTGCGCAAGTTTAGGTTATGCACCCCTCCCCTCCCCCTCAAAAAACCGAACGGGAAGGGACATACCGCAGTTCCACTTGCTGTTTCAGGCCATGAGCAACAACGGATGGCATCTCCGACACCTGGGCCAACTGTTCGGAAAGAAATGCATCATCTAGTGAGACAGTTGGCTTGGCCTCCTGCACCTCACACACCGGCAGAAAGGTAAGACACCAAAATAGACCACACTGTAAAAGTTTCCGCACGACTCAGCGGTGCAAGGGTGAGAGGAAGACACAAAAGAGCGCATGCATTTGCCTGGTCCGTGTGAATACCCACCGGTACCGTCTCCTGCGTGCCTTGCGTCAGTGCGGCTACTAGAGCATCTTCTTTCCTCTTCTTCTCCATCCACGCTTTGATGCGCGTCACCACTTGGGCCTGTCTGATCCTCCTTCCAGTTAGATCTCTACGAGAAGAAAACAAAAGTACAAAACCGCATGAATACGCATGGGGGGAGAGTAGGCAGCAACGAGGGGTCGGTCTGCACTCAAGGAGCAGTTTCCCTGCACCCACCTGCAAGCATCAATGGAGAAATTCGCCCTTTTCTTCCTTCTCTGCTTTTTTAACAGGGCACCAAAACCACCCTTTCCTCCTGGCAGCCTCAGGAGTAGCCACAGCGAACATAGTGGAGACCCTGGTGACGTTTCTGTTGGCTTCGACTCGATTGCTGCTGGTGTGGCGATTCCCCAATCTGAAGCTAATGCAGCTCCTGCTTCAGTCCCTAAGATTGTTTCTACAGGCAAGCACGTATGCGGATATACCTCTTTTTGCTGCACCACCAGGCGCAGCTTGGACGCTGCATCAGCCGTGTGGATGCCCGCGCGCGCTGCCGCGAAGGAAAGAAGAAAATGGCCCGGGACATACAGACCGCAGCGGGAAGTCTGAATCAAAGTGGAGCTGGCCAGCCTCTCAACAGCAGATGCGCCTCCTCCGTTTACGAAAGAGGCCCTCTGTGCCTCCGCGGCAGTGAGGAGAGGAAGATCTTCTAGGAGCACGGAGGCAACAGAAGTCCCTCCCGAAGGCAGCATTATAAGGAAAGTGACTTTACGTGGTCTAAAACCGCGCTGAATCGCAGGCTGAGCGCAGCTTGTGGCTCCAGAACCCCTTGCTTCCCTGTTGAGGCAGCATGCTGCCTCCGTCGGAGCGGCAGTCGGCCGCGAGGCCGCCAGGGACACCATCTCTCCTCACTCCCTCCCAAACAAGCTCTTGATTCACCAAGAAATAGAAGAGACAAGGGCCACGGCAACGTCGCCTACAGGGCAGAAAGGCCAAGTTGAACCGTGGAGTAACTGGCTGAGATGCAACGTTTCAGTTGAGCGTCACCAGGCTAATATAGAGCGTAATATGAAGTGCCAACGTGGGATTTCGAGGCAAGAGTCCTATCTTCGATGAAAAGATGGGCTGACGCCCACCTTGCTTGAGTCTTCGGCGCGGGCGCATGCAGGAGCGGGTCCCCAGTACTGGGTGGGCATGCACAGTAGTCGGTTATCTCATTGTGTTGCATCATCTTCCCCTTTCAATTCCAATGCTTCTCATTTTCGTTCTTTCTTCCCCATCTACTGTGGCCACGCCTTCCGCGTTCCACCGTGCAGACACTTGGACATCGTTCTAGGCTGGCATCAGCGACTTCTCAACGCATGCCCTTCCCACTAGTTCAAATCCTCGGCGGTGCAAGCAATCAAACGTCTCCATGGAGTGTGGCGTTCGAAAACCCTTAAACCGTCGTGGGATCGCCAGCAGGCGGAAGAGGGGACCAGCTCTAGCGCTCGCGTGATTTTCGGGTTTTCGATTGCCGCCGTCATTTGTTCTGGACGTACATTTAGAGGGACTGCTAGCATTAGAGGCCTTAAGACCCTCGTAATATATACGAGGGTGAGGGGAGACTCAGGGAAAACAAGCAGCACAAGGGGGTGTACGCTCTCAGTCTGTCCCGCGTGCAACGGTGGAAACGAGCCGCATCCCCGAACCTTTCATTTCCTAATATCCAAAGGGAATCTATGACATGCGTTTTGCCTGCTTGTTTCTGGTGTTCGAAATCATCAACGAACTGGAGATAACAGCAGAACGCCCGCACTCCAGGCGGGTATCGCATGTGGAAGTGTTTAGCTACTTTTAGACAGCACGGTTTCAAATCTGCAAGGTCTGGTTAATACTGGAATTTCAGGGCGGTTGTATTTGGCTTTCTGCATCTGATTTACGGAACGTCTCATACCTCTTCGGTGTCAAACTGCAGAAAGCCAGAAAATGGCTTTTGGCTTCGGTCGTTCCACGACGGAATCGGCCAACTATTATTCAAAACAAAACTCGACGGAACTTCCAAATGGACCTTCTGACTCGGTGTCTCAGCTAGCATGGGTACGTGTGGCTTCTCGTCATTTGCTCCTCTATGCCTTCACATTTGCGTTCCGTTGACTGTTCCAGCCTTCGCCCGGGGTCGAACGTGTGGCGCTCCAGCGTGCATGCTCTTACTTCGGTTCGGCGTAAACTGCTTTATCATTTTTCTTTTCAGTCACGGGATGGGCAGGCGCTTGCTTGCGCCTCGTGGGACCGGACTTGTCGCGTGTGGCAAATCACAACTCAGCCGGCGGCTTTCGGCACCAACGGCCCAGTCCTTTATAAGGGAAATCCTCAGTCTCTGTTTACGGAAACTGCTCCCATTCTCTCTTGCTGTTTCGGCGACGTAAGTGGATCTCCAGTGGAGAAGAATAGACTGCGCCGCTTGACTGTGACTGCGAGGGCGGCAACAATAACACACGCACTCACAATTTGTCTTCATCGTGTTTGCATGTCTGGCCGATTACTTGCAGACAACGCAGATGCTGTTAACAGCCGGATGTGACAAACAGGTGAAGGCATATGATCTCATCAGTGGCCGAACGACAGGACAAGTCATTGGGCAGGTGAGACGAATGCCCAGGTTCAACTATGCCAACTTGGAAGTCTCAGCCGGATATATTAAAGTTGCTGCTAACAGTAGCCAATATCTGTTCTCGCCTTATTGAGTCTAGCGTTGGGACAATTTTGTCTGTGCTTCTTTTTGCAGCACGATACACCCGTAAACTTTGTCGCGTGGAACCCTATGCACAAATTAGTTATCAGCAGTGAGTTGATGCCCAACGTTAGTTGTTGGCGGGAATGCTCACTTATTACTCCCTCGTGCAGTTGAGCTAAAGAGTATTCCATTTTCATTAAACTGAACAATTTCGTCTGCAATAATACTGTGAACATGTATTTGAATTTAGTAGATGGATGCTAGGCCATGCTGTGGTATTGGACGCTTGAACGGCTTTGTTCCTTGAGAGCTGTGGCACAGACGCTCTTGCCAAACTTGCCTTCATACGTCTCCTGTATGCAGCAAGCTGGGATGGAGGCGTGAAGATGTGGGACGGGAAGCAGCCGAACCCCGTGTGGCAACAAAATGTCGGCGCCAAAGTATGAAACACCAACAGGCCTCATCATTAAACGGCACCTCACGCTGCCTGGCTGGTCACTGTCTTTTGGATTCCGTGGTGCACAGGAGCACAGTGTCATGTGCTTAGGTGTTCCAGCTGTTTTGTTCAAAAAACAGAACTCGATGTGATATTTGGTGCCAGTTTTCAGTGATGTTTGCGGGATAATTCATTGTTCTTTTCTGCGTGCAGATATGCAAGGCAGCTTTCCACGACTGTTTCTTAGGAATCTGTGACACCTTCCACGATTGCGTGATCCTGAATGTTCCGCTTTTGCTGCAACAGGGCCAGTCGGCCTTTGCTGTAAATACTCCGAGTACGGCGGCCGCTGCCTCGATTCCCGTTATTACAAAAACAGGGTCTCAGTACCAGAAAATGCAAACGCGTTCTATGGCTTTCTTCCCCGACGATGCTTCACAGACTCCAGGGGTCGCGATTGGCAGTGTAGAAGGGAGATGCAGCATTCTGTACATAAAAGAAGCGCATAAGTGAGGCACGAATTGCTATGCTCCCTAGGCCGTATTTTTGGCTAAGGTACTTGATCAGTAGGCAGGGCTTCAGAAATGAGGGCAGAGTTGCGGAGCAGTAGGGATTCCAGTGAGTGAGGCGCATGCGACTGCTCGACCGGTGCATTTCTTGCAGAAACATGGACTTCAGCTACCGGTGCCACCGCCAGGAGGTTCCGCAACAGCAGTTGCAGATATTCTCCGTGAATGCTATTTCGTTTAACAAGCTGAAATCGTTTAGTACCGGCGTACGTCATTCGAAGGCCGATTCGTTACGGTTTGGGCGAAGAGCATAGTATTAGACCTCAGCCGAACCCCGTGCGGGCGACAGTTTAAATGGGGTGAACATAAGGGGTTGCTAGCGACGTGCTGTCACCTCGTTGGGTGAATGGTTTGGTTTCAGGGATCTGATGGCGTTATTATCTGCTGGGACAAGGAATCAAGACAGAAGTGCGTCCTTGGGAGCCGCTTAGCCATTATTAGCAACCGCAGATCCTTGATGCTTCAGATTCTCTGATTCCGTCCTAAATGTTAAGTGCTTGCATAGATATCTTTGATCAGTCTAGTTCGTGTGTGCGCCAGACTCAAGACCTTCGAACCTGCCGGCGCACCGATTGCTGATCTGAAGTATGACCCGACGTCCACAGCACTGGCGTACGCAGTATCTTACGACTGGAACAAGGCAAGCGAGACGCTCTCCATTCGATGACAGACACAGCTTGACGACAGATACCGCTTCGCTCCTGCAGGCCTTTCCTATTACTTCTAAAGTTAATAAAAATTTTTAGTCCTAGAAGTAATAGATACTATTAATTTTAATATAGCTGTCCTGCAGCCAGTGTGTATCGAAATACGCTACAGCATTGCTGTTGCTTGCGGCGTTGTGTGAATGCTTCCAGGGCCCAGACCAGCAGGAGCTGGCCAAGGGGCATCACGTTTATATTCACGCGGTAAGCATTTACGTTGGTTGTACTCTGCCCAATTGTCCTGCCTAAACATTGCACCACGTATGGCATTGCCTGTTCGGCGTGCAAAGAAATTATGCAACAAGGAGCCCTTCAGTTTTTGCGCTTTCTGCATTCGTAGATGAAGGAGGAGGATATTCGCCCTCGGCCAAAGAATACCCAGCGTCGCTGAAGTGCAGCGTTTGCAGCCCGCCTCCTCTTGCTTGCTGGGTTCACGAGCTTGTCCAGCCTAAGCTGGGCTGCAACGCATTGCCAAGGGAGCCTCTAATCACCATCCAGAGTAGGCGCTTGAGACGATGCGCGTAAACATGCAGGCAGTCTTGGCGGTTTGCCTTGCTGGTTTGACACGTCACTCAACAGTTTGCTCAGCTGTCCGTTAGAGGTGCGGATGCCGAGCGCTGGACAAACTAGAGAACCTTATCTTTGTCATAGTTGAATGGCACACACTTTTGTCATATATGAATAAATACAGTAATTGAGAAGTTGGGAGGTATACTGAGTATGCTATACTGCTGGCAGACACGCGCAGTCGGTCGTTCCATGCGCTGCTTGGGACCCTCCAGTCGTTGTGACCTACTTGGCGTGATGAGCTGGTAATGTGACAGAAATAGTGGCGCTTCTGCTTGTAGACCTCGTCCAGTCGATTTTGTATTAGTTGAAACGCAATGAGAATATCGCATGGACCACGCCAAATATTCTAACTTGCAGATGAGCTCCTTCGGAAATACTCAGCAGCTGCTTGAGAAGGCTGCGGATGTACAGCTATGTATGCCCCGGGTTAGCAGTCAAATGCCTTTGATGATAGCGCGACGGTGTGGAAAATTCTGGCTACGACACCTAGGCTGGAACAAAAGTGCTGGTGATTGTGTTGCCTCCACTTTAGAGTTCGTACCCCTAGTGCATCTGCATTAGGGCCCGCACCTTGGTCCAGCCGAGAGTAGTCCTGTTCCCCAGCGATGACAGGGACGCAACTGTATATCCGTCGTACCCGAAGTTAGCTGGGACAGTATTGTCTTTCGCGCAACAGATGGAGAGGGCACCCTGCCGTGCCAACTTATTCTAAAATTGGAACGATACAGAGAATATTAGCGTGGCCCTTGCGCAAGGATGGCACGCACAAATCGAGAAGTGTAACCAACCTTTTTCATTTTATTTAAATATATTTCCGGTGCGGCAAATGCCAAAGGGCAACAAAATCTTTCCGCTTTAGAGGCGTTTTCCATGGACTGCCTGTCCTGCCTAAATACAACTCCTGAGTAATTTTTATCGGAGGAAATCAAGTCGCTTTTGCAAGCGCTAGTGCTGCAGTCGGCGCGCTACATGTGGAGGTCCAGATGTCTCCTTTGTCGTCTGTTATGTAGTTTGGGGGATTTGCTTAACCCGGCTGAAAAGTCCTGCTAGGGGAGAAGTCGGTCGTTGCTCATACAGTGCAGTGATTTCTTTCTTGCGCCTTGGCATGGTGCGAAGTCACTGCACTTCTCTCCCCTGGCTGCCCCCACCTTCCGAGTTAGTCACATGCAAAATTGAAGGCGCGTAGGAGTACTGAGTAGAAAACAACCTGGGGCCGCCCTGAGCAGAGCGTGCCCATAGAACAAATTTCGCTCGTACATAGAACGCATCTATGGCCTGGGAAATGGCGTGCTGGCAGTAATTGGACTACACGCATTATCGCTAGCACCAGCCAAAGGCTCCCGTGTTTGCTATACCTGTGTGGTCAAGCACGCAATCATTTGCTTGTGGCTGTCCAGATCCCTAGTGGAAGAGGGGAGCTTCGAATTTTTGCAAACTTGAGTGAAAAACGTTGTGTTGTATTGGAGACTAGGCGGTGCACGCTGCCGCACAGCCGTTGCACCTCTTGATGGAGAAACTGTACAACAAAGTTGCTTTTCTGAGTCGGTTGACAGATACAAGAGCAACAAGTGACATGGAACCTCAAAAACCATCGCCCGCAGCGCGTGGTTCGCAAACACTACCACAGGCAGCACACAACCGCTCGTCTAACTCGGAGGTGAACGACAAAAGACAAGTTTAGCACTCCGTTTTCCCCCACATCGGCACTCTCGCACGGCCATTTATATATGAGACGCTAGTTAACCGCGCAGACGCCAATACAGCAACTCACTTGACGCACAATTCGACTTTGCACGGTTCAAGACACTGTGCTTGGTGATTCGTTGGCTCAAGAAGTTGGTTCGTCAGGATGGGTGTTTTCTTGTAAACCATGTTAACGCGGTGGGGCGGTGCAGACGAGATGATAATATGAAGGCGAGCGAGCGCTGATACAAAATCGGTCGTGTTCTATCCCGCACATGGAGGCTGGCCCTAACTGTGAGATTGCTCCTGAACAATCTAATTTTGGTGTTCTCCATTCTTTACTTTACCGTGTCAAATCCATTTATATTCTATGCCGCATGAATTTCCTTTAACGTCTGACGCGGTAGGACAACCTCCAGGCGGGCACTCGGCGCTCTCCCTCGGCGAACGGTCCGTCTGCAGTCCTACAAATACCATTCAATTCTTGATGGCGCCTTCAAATGCACTTCGTTTGTACACTCAACTCATGAATTCATAAGTTTCTGCATTTACCTCATTTGTCTAGTGACTGGTGTTGTCAGGAAGCAGGAGTGTCGATGCCTGTCTGCCGACTAAGGCCGCATGCAAACGAGATTCGCCGACTTTGCGGTGCGGAGGCGCTCGACCAGCACAGGAGAAGGCTGGGAACGAAATCACTTTGTTCCTTTCTTATAGGGAAACGGACGATTGACGATCAGCGGATTCGACAGGGTAGTCTGACGGCCCCTGCAGGCGCAAGGGCTCCGTTCTTCTCATCGCGCATACCCCGAGTAATTTGCTGGGTTAACAACGCTGGCGCATTCGTTAACATAAATACGGGGCTTCACTCTTGCCTGCTTCACTTGCATGCACATTTTAGAGGGCCGCTGTCTCCACGTACCCCTGCACAACCACGTGCTGTGCACACAGCGCTCCCTGTAATGCTAGCGTCAGGTAGCCCTCCCACAGGAAATGTGCCTGCAGATACACCTGAAAAGGGGAGTTCATCTGGCGGAGAAAATGACCCTCTAGTGCAGTACGTGGTGGTACGCCGAGACTTGACGGCGGTGTTGCAGTGGCCTTTGGGGGCAGTTGTGGCGCAGGCCTGTCACGCTGCGTGAGTGTGCATCCCTTTCAAGGGAATATTAAAGTGGAATAGTGCCTACTCGTGTAGCCGTAGCCACCCAAAAAGAACGCCTACCACGCCAAGACAGTTGCCTGCGGCGGCCTGCAAAGGGGAGCACACAACTATGTACTGTGAGATATCCCAAGCTACGATGTGGCTCGTGAGGTAGAAAAGCTTATCACAAGGGTTTTCTAAGCCGTGCATTTCTCTTTCTTCTTCGTTGCAGGGTGGATGCGCTGGGGTTGGCCATGGAACGGGACGGAGAGGGGGCGCGAAGGTATCTGGCTGGAGGCAGTAACATGAGGACTGTAGTTCTCCAGGTCTCAGATGAGGGCGAATTGCTTAAGCTTAGGGACAAATTGGTGAAGAACCAAATCGATCATAAGTTGTGGCAAGAAGAACCGGAAAAGATCCCCACTGCGCTGGCCTCTGCACCAATAAGGAAAAGTGCTGGCAGAGTTTTCAAAGGGCTAAAGCTGTTGTCGTAGCATAGTTGTGGAATGAACGGTTTGATATTTACCTTTCAGTTAGCGTGTTAGCGTGGCCCTGAGCAGAACACCGTAGTTGAGACTGGCTGGCTCACCAGGGAATTGTGAAGAGCTCACACTAATAGTATTTGCTTGCATGATCCAATACTGTAGTCTTGCAGCATAATTGCAAGTGCAATCAGTGAGGCGTTCCTGCACTAGCAGGTGCAGGAACGCTTCAGGTTCTGTTTCGAAAATTTAGTGCACTCTATCACTTCTAGGTAGTAGTAAGCGCCGTCTTCTTTCACGTCCCAACTGAGGTGCCTGCCCTCCAACTGTCTCTGCATAGGCGGTTGAAGCACGGGCGCGCTGCACGAGCGGGTGGGCAGCGTGTTTAGGCAGTGCCCTCTGTAACTAAGCTGCACAGAACCAAACATTATTTATCGTTTTATGGAGCAAGTGGGACTTCCTATGACTTCCGGGACACGTGTGCAGTCGGGTCCACTCGACTGTTCGATGCGCTGCTCGTGGGGCCCCTTAAGGGCGGCAGGGCGGCGGACAGATACCGGGGAAGTGTTGCACAAAACGATTGGAATTTAAGTCAGTTTTCAACGTAAGATTGAGGTTTTCTGCGGAAGTACTGGGTAACTGTTCTGAGTCAGCCGCATGTGGACTAGGTCGGCGGCGCGTGGACTGGAGCAGAGGACACCACTCTTCTGTTTGCAAGGTGGTTATTCTATTTATATCTTCCCCTATAACAGATGACAACTTGCACGGCCCACATTGTAGCCTCCAAGACCACTCGTGGGCCACCCACGTGGTGGGCGCTGTGGCAGAGGGGCACCCGTCGCCGACTGCACAACGCAACATCATCTTCTTCGTCAATAGCGGAGGCCGCTATTGAGCGCCCTACCAAGTTTAAAGTACAACGCCTATCTGAGGCCGTTGCGAGCGAAGCTACGTGCCAAGACCATGGTTCCACAACCGTCAGCATTCCCCGTGAAACAGACGGAAGCCATTACTGGGGTAGGAGCGATTCTGTCTGGGGTTGCTCTGCTACTCCCAACTTGGCAGTTGCTCGCTTGCCATGCATTCTACAGTGGAGCTCATGGTGCAGAAAGCATCGCAGAGCTTGGCCACTTGTTGGGAACGCAGCTCTTCCACAGCTGCTGATACATGCGCGGCGTTTTTCCATCATGGACAGATATAACAGAGTGGGTAGCTCTGGAAAATTGGCAGTAAACCCTGCATGCGATGGAATGATTCGGGTGTAGTTGCGAGTTTCCCGTTGTTCCGTTTGCCCGAGCTGGAAGCAGTAACCTCACCGTTCGTCCGGCTGTGCAGACTGGCTCTCTTTGCCCTCAGGCTCGAAATGAGTTAAATATGAGCTGTACTTTACCAGCAACTTGCTCAGACGTGGACACCGAACAAGCAGCGGCTTCGGACTATCCGTGTAAGCTGGCAATTTGTAGTTGACTTCGAAGCAGTTTTGCCGTACACCTGTTGGGACAAGTAGACCTCCAACATTCAGCCCTGGGCATTTTACCTCGACTGTGAAATATGCGTAAGTGGTAGGTATCCCGTAATCCTAGCCGGATTGTGGTTTTTCGTTAAATGCACAGTCAAATCTACAACCTCGTACATCGTGCCTCCGAGCCGCCCGGCGATTCATCGGCCTGTCGCGAGAGACCCCGTCCCAGCTGAGGTGTGATATGCACGTGAGAACGTTATCACCAGCCGAACTCGCCTAGAAATATCGTATCTTCGTGCTTGTGCCGCTTCCACTTCGGAACGCCTCTTCAACACATATTGCACCTGTGCCTCTGGGAGCCTTGCTTGCAGGCACAGTTCGCCACGTGGCAACCTCCACTTCAGCCAGCGCACCCCAGATCGCTTACTATAGCTCTCATTGGCCCGCCGAATGCTGGAAAAAGCTCTTTGCTAAATGCTTTCCTTGGCGTTACGGTTTCCGCCGTATCCAATAAGGTGAACACTACGAGGTAAATACATGCATTCGACCAGATGAAATATTCGCAGCTTAGTGGATGCACAGCAGCACTACTTTTTTACATGTATGTTTGCCATTTGCATGCCAACAGAACCGATTTCCGTGGAATGGTGACAAAAGGGAACTGTCAATTAGTGTTCGTCGATGCACCAGGTATGCTTTTTGGCTGGTGCGGTGGTGAGTGCGGTCCTGCGCACAACTAGATGAGACATAGGTCAGTGCTGAGAAATGTGGTCCTGAAAATTTGGCGTTGGTGTGTGCATATTCGGTATCGCCCTGCTGGAGGTTGTGAACACAAGAACATTTTTGTGGTTGGGCGTCGGAATCACCAACGCAGGTATTATTGAGTCTCATCCCAAGAAGACGTTCTGCAAAGAGCTCGTGAATGCTGCATGGAGGGGTTATGTAAGAAAGACACTCAGAAGTTTGCATACCCCTCCTTAACATTCGCTAGTTAGCATGCATCTGCGCTGCGCGAGATATCGTGGTATTTCATGACTGTGCTATGTGCAGGAAGATGCGGACTTGGGGATTCTGGTCATTGATGCTGTCAAACGCCCGACACAGCAAATCTTCAATGTTGTTCGTTCCATCGCACCGAAGCCATGCCTCTCCCGATTTGGATTTGATCACTTAGGCAAGTGCCCACATCACTGTGTGGAATGCACTACACTATGTAGTGTTCTTGATCTTATCAGGTGATTGGCGTGATACAATGAACTGTCGACAGCCTTTCTTCTTGCCCGTGTTCAAATTAATTCTGTGGAAATATTTCTTCTTTCTCAGGAGTTTCGGAAATATCGAAGTGCTCAACTTGCTCGCATGAAGCCATGACAAGCGGCATAGTCCGCTCCCCATCTTTGGACGAAATGTGGGAGGCTGGGATTCCAGGAACGCTGCGACATCGCCTGACTAGGACGTATATAGACGATGAAGTAGATGGGCATTCGCCGGCAATACCAATAGTTCTATGCCTCAATAAGGTACAAACTTCACAATGCACGGACACGCACGATTGCAGTGAACCAGGATAGCACAAAATAGCATCCGGACGCCTCCTGTTCTGTGCAACCTGCAGATCGACTTGGCGTCTCATCCGAAGTGGATTCGTGCTCGTGAAAGAGAGTTTCAGTGAGCGCTAATGCTAAGCAAATGACGTCAAAGCGAATGCAAAGCTGGCCTTTTACAACGATACTCATTTAGTCTGAAACAAGGCGAATGCGGTACAGGTCGCACGGACTGTTTCAACGCGTGTTTCACGTGTCCGCCAAACATCGAAGAGGAACAGATTCTCTTTTGGATTACCTTATCAGCGAAGCTGTCCCGCGATCGTGGTCTTTCCCTCCTGATATGGTATAGCAATGCAATATGCGTGCTAGCTCCTGTGATCACATTGCAAGGCTGCAATAAGTGGCGCGAGAATAGCATGTTTGTATCCATTGTCATGTTTGAAATGCAGCGAACGAGCCTCTCGAAAGTTCAGCAGATCGAGGAACTCATCAGGTAAATATCGATTAGTTTTCAGCGATTTTCGTCCTGCCGTTGTTCATGCTGCACGACCCTGATCTCGCGCTCCACATGCTCCTTCTTGATTGATCAGGACATATTTGTTTTGCTGGTTTAACAAAGACGTCCCATATCGCATTTCTCAGCAAACAGTTGGATGGTCGTACCAGGAAGACGGATCAATCGCTATTGAGCAGGTACGGCAGTGCAAGACTTTGCGGAGAGAGCATTGGCGTAGAAGCCTTCGTACAGTCGTGTAGTGTAATCCGTTTGCGTTGTGGTGCAGGAACTCGTGGTCAGAACTGCGCAAGTTGCGAAGATGATTTGTGGCGTTAGGGGCCGCATTCTTCTGCAGATGCGGAAAAATGTCACATACAAACTAGAACAGTTGTGGGGGTGCAGAGTTCATCTGAACATATTTGTCAAGGTTTCTAAGGGCTGACTACGCTCTCTAGTGCGTGGTGACAAAACAGGTTTGCTTTTTTTTCAGCTGAATGCACTTTACCACAGTTGTTCCCCAGGGAAACGAGATATTTTTTGAAAACCAAGGTGCCAAAACACTAAGGGTTTTTTTGCCCATCGGAGAGTTACTGTTCGACAGTATAGCTCTTCATCATGAATGTGTTCAGTGAATAGTAGATTCCAAGTACAGAAGCAAGATAGACTCCACCCAGCGTGAGGAGGATGGTGGCACTCCAGCTCAGTCCTGTGATACCAATCAAATATAGATGGTATTGCGGATTGGGAAAACTGCCTTCGCAATAGCTTACCAGTGGGTGCGCGGGGTAGGTGACGATTCACAAGTTCTACGCCTGTGGCTACAGCTGCAGCTGGTGAACCAGTCGAGAGGAACACATGGTTCATGGAGCGCTGGATGTGTGTCTTGAACAGAGCGCTTGCAACGCGGGCGTCGACGTTTTCTGGTAGATGGCATGTGTTTCAGATTTCGCCTTGATCGCATTTCAGTTCAGTCGTACCGCGGGTGGCGAGACTGACGGTCTTGAGGTTCTTGACGAATGCCAAAACTATGCCATCATGGCAGCCTTTGTTGCCCACACCCCAGCGTCTGAGAAAGTTCTCCTCATGAACTGTTTCGCGTTTGAGGAACATTTTTGCAGTACCTGAGTAGTGATTCGGCGAAACGGTCGGTGGCTTCTTGTGGTGTTTCATTGGCATTCACCACAATATCTGAAGCGACGGCAACTGCAGTCTGCATTCCAATGTGTCAAATTGAACAAGGCTTCAGATATGAGAATCCTAACCTGGTAATAGTTGTCGGAGTCATCACAACTGCTCTTCGCGGTATCACGAAGCTTGAGCAGGCGCGCCTCGACGAATGCTTGCTCTTCTGGCGAGAGCAAATGGTCGGGATCGCAGACCCAGGAGTGGGAGAGGCTGCAGTGCACGGTTTCAAGTTAGTTGCTGCAGGTTAGTTTGCGAGCAGACTGAATTCCTATTACCTGGAGAAGGCAACACATTTCTCTGGTTGCTCGAAAGGGCTGGGGAAAGACGTGTCTGTGTGCATGGCCACATCAAAAGTCTCGTCCAAATGCCTGTTCAAATTCATGAGTGTTTATCTCCAAAGGAGACTAGGGCAAGCATCGCCTTACGCTCGCTGGGCTTTTCGCAGTGGCGGTCTCCCTGTGGCTGGCCACCACACTTCAGAGCTCGACTCCTCGAAGGCAGGCGCGGAGGCTACAAAGTTCTTATTGAAGCGAAACGGCTGCCCCATTTGGGTGTATCCATCAGCAATGGCCTTCGATGAGACGTGCGAGACCTGGACGCCAGAGATGGCGACGAGAAAAAGTGACTTCCACATTTTGACAGGGTTGGTTTGTAAGAAGCTGTGGAACAACGAAGGACGAAACTCTGGAAGTAATGGCGCGTATTCGGAGCGCTCAGCCTACCGATCATCTCGGGTGAACGTACACCCCAAGACCGGATCATCCCTGCGTGCCCAACACTTTTTTTTTCTGCAATGTAGTTCCGGGAAGCTCGTAATCATGAATTTGGCGCTAGTTTTTTTGTATTGTTTGAGGTCTGAGTGCATTCCAACTACTCCGTTGGTTCAGTTAGCGTCATTTAACTGCTTCAATGCCATAGAGCTGCAATGTAGCACGTCAGCTGCTACAAACGGACCAGGCCACACATAATTGCACCGAAAATACACTGTATTCAGATTTTTTCATGTAGTTAAATGCTATGCTGGTGCAGTCCGCGCATCCTGTTTTACTGGCACCCTCTGTGGGATGTCACAGCATCGTTGTTGTGAGCACTTGTGACTGAAACTGCATTAACCCGCCGAAAGACACCTTCGTAATATCTCCCCTTCATTTTCAAAAATTATTTTTACCTGAACGCAATGTGTACTAATAGGTGAATAGTTTTGGTTACCCGAGCAGAGAAGCAATTAGCCGTGCCTGGAGCTGTCTACCGCTGCTCGTGCAGTAGGCACAGTTGCAGCAATTTCATACGAACATCTTCTTCCTTCTTTCTTTCCTGATATTGGCTATTTAACCAATCGATGCGACTCAACAGGAGTAACTACGCAGTTCTTCAGTGTTGTTCAGCGTAGACAGTCGGCGCTCCCCAATGCGGCTTGGATGAAGTTTTTTGTTTCATGCTGTTGAGTTCAACATCTCCCCAAACACGTCTCCCAAATTACGCAGAGGTACATATTTTGAGCTTTCAAAAGGATTACTTCAGCTATCTACAAAGAGAAAACATCAGTAACCGTGCACGAAAACTTGGGTTCATTTGGCAATGATATGGCTTGATCACCTTCTTCGCCCCTCCAGTAGGCTTCAGTTCCTCGATAGTAGACACAATGGAAGGAGACACCTATGGCTTTCTTGCGGTGGAGGATGAACATGCCTCTAACAGCTCCCTCGGAGACGCAGTGCCTACATGCGCATTGGATGCGAGTGATGAATGTATGAAGTCCCCTGACGGGGGGACTGTTGCCTGGCTGGACGAATTTAGGGATGAATCTTGCAGGGCGGTTCAGTACTCGAACACGTCGGCAATTCCCCGCGTAAGTTAGCACCTTCCCCTTTTGCTGGCTTAGACGAAATAGCGTGAGTAGGCAAAAGTATTCAAGAGAGCTGAAGTATTCAGTGACTGCTTTGTGAGAGTTTCCGGCTTCATATCTGCTCAGCCGATTCGTGCAGCCTTCAACGTGTGCGTGGTCAAGAGTGGGCTCAGCAAGGCCATCCCGGATGCAATTACGCAAAGTAGAAAGGCCCATGTAGACAGATTTCACAAAATCGTGAGCTCGTCGGTGACTCAAGACATACCCTTGGACGACGATGAGACAGGGCAGGGAGAGCCTGAAAGTCAAGGCTTTGCTTCCATTGTTGCCAATGACGCGACCTTTTGGGAGCCCGAAGAACCGATCCACTACGGATACGGACGCTCTCTGCAGCAGCTAGCTGCACCCGTTCCAGACTCACCTTCTTCGTTTGAGACAAATTTGCCTCCATCAGTTCGGTTGGGCGTCTCCTATTTCGAGTCGATGCCCTTCTGCCTTCTGCCTTTAGTCGTGGGCCTTGGGATAGCGGTGGTCTTAGTGCCCTTGTTCTTGCTGTTCTTCTGCCTTCGCAACTGCAAATGCTCAAAGAGGTACATGACACAGCGTGACTCTTTGCGATCTAAAGTAATCCCTTGCACTGTGGTTGCACCTGCGGAATACTGAGCTGTGCGGTTTGCGAGTCATTGCGGCTCATCTCAGACTGTGCAGCTGCTTCTGTTGCCTTCGGATCTTTTTCAAGTCGACAAAGCGTTGTGTGGCCGAAGTGGAGAGATGGCAGTCGAACGGCGCCAGCACAGCGTCATCGGATACTCAGTACCGAGGCAGCGTTCGGAAGCTGGTGCCGCGAAGTTCTTGTTTGGGTGTGAGATACCTCGTGTTGACTGCCGCCTTTTGCACAGTTGCAGCTGCCCTGAGTGTGGGGATGTACGTTGTAGTGAGTATGGGGGCGCAACTTTCTCAGCTGGCCTGTTCGGCTGGCCAGGCGGCCTCTACCATCATTAACGGGCAGACCTTTGCCCATCCCTCTGCCTCTTCTCTCCCCAACGTGGGCATTTTGCCGATTGCTTCGCCTTTCGCCTCCCCCACTCTCTTCAGATCGGCCCCGCCTGCTGCACCCACCGCACTCAACGGCCCCCCTTCCTTGCCTTCCACGCTGCAACCAGAGGCACACGACTCCCCACTGGGACGCCTCCCTTATTTAGGAGAAGCAAGTGAGTTTCCAGCGTCGCTGCATGCGGAAATCCTCGATCTGAAACAATGATGGCGCTTGTCTTTTCGTGATAGGGTGAACCTCCCCAGGACCTACGAGCCAGTTTTAGAGGCTAGCGTTAGGCAGTTGCTGCTGCTGTGCAGTTGGCGCAGATCCAGCCTTGACTAGGCGGTTGCAGCAAGACGATGCGGATTCAAACGAAGATGAAATTGCTCCCAAGAGGACGGGTTTCCTTGGCGCTGTTCCGGCTTTAGCGTAGTAAGTCAGGTTTGGTTTTGCATAGTCAAGCAGCCATTTGACCTGGAGAGGGGATGCTGCCTTTCCGTGGTTATAGACCTATGGGAACGAACGCATTTTGGCAGGAGAAACAGGACAGGATGCATGGCTTGTGTTTGCGTGTTCCGATAATACGCTGCGCGCGTTGCAGCTTCAGAAGCCTCCTCATGGCTCTGGACCCCGAGAGCGAGAATTCCCTGGCTAGACAACTTCGTATGACAACAGAAGTCGCTGCGCGGATCAGCCGGAAGGTTGCTGAGATGAAGATGAATCTGCAGACACTGAAGAAGGTGGGCGCGTACATCAACGTTCTTCTCCGTCTTCGTTTCATAGGGGGGAAGGGCTCAACATATTTCCGCTGCTTCTGTGCGACATTCGGGCATTTGTTTCTGCTTTTTGAGCAGTTTGTATGACCAGTCTGTATGACCTTTTTGCCTAGGGGCAGCACTTGACTTGCGTCTTGCATCGCTGCGATGCATTAGAGGCAGACGGGTTTCTCTTGGTCTCCTTTGGCTTGCAGACTTTGCACCGGCCGGAGAACAGTGGAATGGAAGTGATTGGGGAGTCTGCAGAATACGGAGAGGCGACGCATCATCTCTCTCCCGTGTCTGTTGCTGCTCCATCGCTGCTGAGTTCTTGGGAGACAGCCATTCATCTGCTGCCCTCCACCTTCTTCGCCATTGCCGAATCCTCTGAACAACTCGCAGCAGAAATAGAAGCCTCTCTGCAGCAGACCAATGACCTGCTCCATGTGAAGGACCTGCAGTGGGCAAAGGAAACCCTCGGCCAAGCACTAGACTCCGCACAGCCAACCGTTAAGAAAATCCCCAAACTCGGCACTCCTCTCTTCTGGGTGCGTACTGCTGTTGTTGCTGTTGCTGTTGCTGTTGCCGCTGTTGCTGCTCCCCTTGTTCGTGTATTTCCTGCTGTTGTTGTTGCTACGTCTGCACTAGCCAGTCCGTGCATGCCTCATTGACAATTCTAGACGCTCTAAGGTAATTGGAAGCTCACACTGGGGTTTTTGATACAGAGAAGGGCAATAGGCATCAGCTGCGAAGACAGCGGCAACAGGTGGAGGAAGAATTTGTCTTTTTTAGAGGCATGCGGTTGAGGTGCTCAGAGCTCTATAGTGACATTGAGCCTGATGGGCGTCTTGGTGCTGCTGACCTCCTTGTACTTGTGCTGCCTGTGCTGCTGTCATCGCGAAGCGCTCGTAGACCGCAAGGCCACAAGCTGCGGCTGTTCATTTCTGCTGCTACTCGTATCGGCTGCAGGTGGGGGTTTCGCTGTGGGGCGGAGACGCCTCAACCAAGCTACCGCTATAAATAATATTTATATTGGCTAATGAATATATATATATATATATATTTGTTTATTATTATTGAAGTAAAATATTTGTCTTTCGATATTTTTGAAGACAACTCCCTGTTGCGCTCTCTCTGTATTCGTTTTTCCGAGCTAATCTGTGCTGCTCTTTTGCTGCTATTTGTGCCTCTTCAGCGCTTGTGGCGAGTGGGGGGCTGTTGGTGGGGTCTGCAATGCTGACTGACGGGTGCCTGTACACTGAAAGCTATCTCAAGGACGACAAAGATGTGGATCGTCTTTTGCAGTACTTCCAGCAGTTGACTTCAGTGGGGGGTTCTTCTGCGGAGAGGTCTCTGCAGACCTCCAGCAGCGCTGCAGCCAAAGTGCTGGCGGCCTGCCTGCTGCCGAACCAGGAGCGCGACTTAGTGCGGGTATTCAACATAGATAGTGAGCGCACGCTGCAGAAGGAGTTTGCTGTGGAAATGCATACTTGGGGATAGCTCCAAGCTTCCCCCCGTATGCACATATGCAAAAAGAAACTCAGATAGAATTCAGATGTGAAGGACACAGTACAGGCTGTACGCTACACCCACAAGGAACACTCGCCGGAGAAAGGCGGCATGCATGCAGCCCTGAACCACCGCTGGCATATGCTTTGCTTGTCAACGCACGCTCCCATGCATGCAAGAGCATGCACGCACATGCAGGCAGTTGTGCACAGGCACATGCAAAGGATGAACACAGACCAGCACACTTGTGAATGCATAACACGTAAAAGAATAGAACGCACATGCAGGTACAGCGCAACACAGGCAAACCCAGTGTACGCACACAGGTGCATGCGCCTTCGTCTGCCCACAAACCAGTGCGCCGTGAAGACATATGAGGACGCTAAACAGGATGAATCGACTTAGACAGATATCTGCACACGCAGCTGCACCCACAGCTGTACACACATCATCTGCAAGCAGACATGCACACAGCATGCATGCATGCGTGCACGCATGCAGTCGCGTAGTATGAAAGTGTCTTGCAGGCGTGTGCGTGTTCACCTGCATGCATTTCACTGTGAGGGCATGCAGGCGCATCAGCTGAACACAGGCGGCTGAATACACCCAAAGCGTTTCCTGTTGCATGCGCCGCAGCACTGGTGAAGGCAGGAGTCCGGATGAGAGAAGCGGGGAGAACTGCTGTGGAGAAAGAGGCCTTGGCCGCCCGTTTGCTGTCTTTACAGCTGCAAGACGCAGCTGCGGAGCTGCAGCTGCTAAAAGAAACGCACTGGCTGCTGCTCATAGACCCAATGTCGTTGGAACGGGAGGTCAGAGCTAACTGAAAACGAAGTCATGCGTACCGCTTCACAACAAAAACAGCAGCAGCAGCAGCAGTAGCAACAGCAGAGGCAGTTGCTGCATGCTCTAGATGTTGCGTTGCTGTTGCAGGATTTGGATGAGAGACTGGACACGTACAAAGAAGTCCTCTGCAGCGGCGTTCAAGACAAACAGCGGGAGCTTAAGGCCAGCTATCTGGGCCTCTCCCCTGCATCAAAATCAGCAGCAGCAGCAGGCGAAGAGCAGGAGGTGTTTCCACCTAGCAGACTGGAGATGTTTTCTCTGCTACATCGAGGAGGGAAGCAGCCATCTGATGAACTTGCAGCACTCTTGCACCAGCTAAACGCCGACCCCCTGGCAGCAGACAGGCTGTCTGCATCCTTTCAGGATGCGATTCGCGAAATGGAGGCCAGCAGCAGCAGTAGCAGCAGGAACAGGTGGGAGCGAGCGATGAAGCCGATGATAGAAGGTGTAGTAGGGGAGTTGATGCGGCTGGCTGCAGACAAGTCAGAAGCTGAGAAGACGCAGCTGCTGCATGCGGTGGTCCGGCTGGCCGGACAGGCCCACGCAGAGGTGCAAGGGGATAGGGAAGCAGCAGGGAGCAGCAGCAGCGCAGCAGCAGTTGAAAGAAGGAAGCGGCGGCGGCATCAGCACGAAAAGCTCCTCGAGCTGCTGCAAGACACCTGCATGCAGACAGGCGCCAGGACAGCATCAGGCGGTGTGGAGCCCGCAGAGCGACTTGTGGTGTACGGCTTGGAGGATGTAGAGGAAATGGTAGCACCCTTTACCCTGTCTTCTCTCCACAGCAGCAGTAGCAGCAGGAGAGAGGATGAGCGGCTATTGATTGACGCTTCCTCAGATGCGGATTCAGCTTACGTGTTGGAGGTTGCAGCAGCAAAAGGGTCTGTAGAGGAACAGCGTCAGTTTGCAAATGCTATTTGGTGGGCGGCTAAGAAGGAGGCGCTGCGAGCAGAAACAAACAAATCTTTTCGGTGTCCTCCCAGCAAACAAGAAGAAGGAAACGAACAAGAAGAAAACGGGACCCCGTGCAACTGGGAACAACTCCAGGAAACCACGCAGCAGCTTCTCTACAAAATGCAGAAACAGGTAGACAAAACAAATATAAGAGACAATACAAATATAAACAAAACAGCATAAGCATAAACAGACAACATAAACATGAACAAACATACACATCAACAAATAACATAAACATGAAAAAACAACAATAGCATAAACAAACACAAACAATCGAAAAATAGAACGTACAGCAGGCGCAAATAAGGCAATCGACATAAACAACGCAAACAAAACGAAAAAAGCAATATAAACAAATATAATCAAACAACCAGGACAACATAAACAACAAGAACAATACAAACAACACAAACATTAACAAACTAGACAAACGCCGCAAACAACGCACACAATATAAACAACACAAACAAAATGAAGAACACAACCACGAATACAGTCGCGACAACCCATACATACAGACAGCACTGGCAAATGCGCTCCAGATAGAGACAGAGACAGGGATAGATTCAGAAAGAGACAGAGGTAGGTATGAAGACAGACACAGAGACAGAGATACAGAGGGACAGTGAGAGAAATAGATATACGGAGACGGAGGTACAGACAGAGATAGAGATACAGACAGAGAAAGAGGTAGAGATACAGACAGACGGACAAGGACAGAGTTACAGACTGATGCTGAGATAGAGCTACAGACGGAGACAGAGATAAAGATACAGAAAATGAGAAGCAGAAAAGGGGGCAGAGACACAGACAGAGACACAGACAAAGGCAGAGACAGAGACACAGACAGAGCCTGTGTCACACACAGGAGAAGATACACAAACAGAGGCAAAGACAGAGACATACAGGAATAGAAAGAGAGACAGAGACAGGCGTCGCCGCACATGACAACGGACCGGCCCAGATTCTGGGCAGAGTTTTTGAATGGTGTAGACAGTTTGTGTTCAATTGATGCTGTTTATTCTTTTGTGTTATTCTCAGTGCAATTAAGATAATTCGTTGCGTTTCTTTGTAGGGGCGTCTACGTGCTGTGTCGTGCGTTGGTGCTGCTCTTGTGGAAGGAACCTCCTTCCTGTTTCATCTTCTCGTTTTGTTCTTCTGTCTGTATCTGTTGCATGCGCCTTTGCTTGCTCTTTAAGGCGTTCGGCTGTTGATGCTGTCTCAATGCGTGTAGACTTGTGTGGCATGCTGGCCTCTCCATCTATCTGCTTGTTTGTCTGTCTGTACAGCTGGACAGCCTGTGGGGCGAAGAGCTGCGGCCGTTCTTTGCTGGCCGCTTCCGTGCGTTTGGCGTTGTGGGGTTTGACTTTGAATTAGCAGCGGCTAACGCAGACTGCCGCATGGTGTATAATGAGGTGCAGCCGCTACAAGAACTGCTGTGTGAGCAGCTGGTGCCCTCGGGAGCGAACCTCGCGCTGCTGCTGCTGCTGCTGGGCGCAGCGGCGCTGCTGCTGCTCCCGTGCTTCTGCTGCCTCTGGTGTGCGGCGCTGCAAAACACCTGGGCAATTAGTGGCAAACTAAATAAACATAATAATGCAGTCAACAGCAGACAGCCCTCAGAGCGATCGCCGCCTTGGACCCCCGACAACCCCACGCTCACCAACCCACCTAATGCAGCTGCTGCTGCTGCTGTTGCTGCTGCTGCTGCTGCCGCTGCTGCTGCTGCTAACGGAGTCGCACAACCTCCCATGCAGCAGCGCTACTATCACTTAGACAGAAGCCAAACCGTCCGCAACGAAGACTGGAGCTAATGAGTCACACACCTCCGCTGCTGCTGCTGCTGCTTTTTGCTGCTGCTGTACCAGCTGCTGTAGTTGCTGCAGTTGCTGCTGGCAAGAAGTGCGGGTTGTGGTCGGAGTTGGCGTTTCATCCCTGTTTGTTAGTTTTTGGTTTTTCGTCTCCTCTCTCGCTTTTAAAGTTCTGCTCTGTGGTATTTAATTAACAAAGTGTTTTTGTTTTTCGCTGGTAACCTGCAGAGGGATGGGCCTGAATAAGAAGAGCCTTATTCCCTCTCTCTATTGCATGCACCGAAGTTTGTTGTTCGGTTCTAACTATTAACTGCCACTTTCTTTTGCTGCGATACGCCCCGGGAGCAGACGGACCCAAACAAAACAACAGCCAGCAGCAGCAGCATCAACAGCAGCAGCAGCAATTCCCCTTTGTAGAGGCCGTTGCACTCGGGTGTACGGACACGGCAAAGTTATCGAACGAGCACCTCCCACCCGCCACACCACAAAAACACTTCTTGAAAGCCCCTGACACGAGACCGAATATGCACTTCTTAAACCCGTACCATCAGGAAAATACCGACTAGTAGCAACCGAAGCAGTGCTTGCATGCATCCATGCACTGCTACCTCCTGATGATAGACAAAACTCTAGACAGTAGAAAGGCTAACGACGAAAGACGCAAACAACAGTGCCAATCAACCTTAGGGGTTTCTCTACGGCAGAGAGGACCACCTCTTTATATATATATATATGCATATATATATATATATATATATACATATATATATATATA